ATGTTCCCTTAGCCCTATGTTCCCTCAGCGGTATGTTCCCTTAGCCTCGAGTTCCTCATCCTTATGTTCCCTCAACGCTAAATTCTCTCTGCCATACGTATTCATAAAATAATTCACAGCCACCTAACGGTGTGAAGAAGCCCTTCAGTCAAAATATATGATAATGATTCTAATGTTCAAGTCAGTTAAGTTGACTAAACATGAGCTGTTTTTTCATCCGTCTTTTTTTCCGCTTCCATACTTCAAAGACTTTTCAGAGATGTTTCCTCCCCACCATAAAATAAAATCCACTCTCACTGTAAACTGGTTATGGTTAATTATGTTTAGTGACTTGCAACAACTCTGTGACTGGCATTAGTCCTGTTCATACTAAAGTTTACAGTCTTTGGAAGTTCAACACAGGTTGTTTGATGAACCTACCTAGTGGCGTGTCCACCAGGATGGCCGAGTAGAGCTCAGTCGGGGTACGAGCGATGCCCACTGCTGCCATTTGGTCAAAAGCTCCCAGTGGGTGACACCGCGGAAGGAGCTCTGCCACATCTCTCTGTTTCAGGGCCCCGGTGATCAGCATCACCACATTGTCGATCATGTAGCTGTAGCTATGGCAGAGAGCAGGGTAAATGTAAGTCCCTTTATTTTTCTGCATGGCATTTTATATTTAGCCATAAACATGCCTTTGTTTTTAAAAACTGGTAGCAGATGCAGTAAGTTTAGTGAAATGAGCTTTCTTTGAATGTGACGGACATTATAATGGAGGAAAGAAATGCATATGTACATAATCCACAGTTTTCTTTTAGCGATAATCAAGAAAAATGGATAGATAACTACAGGAAACAAATAAGTATTTCATGTGACCTTTGTGTAATTTATAACTTAACACATGAAGCGTACGTTATATAGTCAAGGAAGGTTGATAGTGGAGGCAGGGCATTGGAGCGAAGGCAGCTGAATTCAGTCACCAGGTTTTCTCTTAACTTGCTGTCCACCAGAGACACCGTCAGGTCCTCTTCAGATGAGGACAGCATCTTACCGTAGTCTGTGCACTGCAGATGCAGCTTCATGTCTGAGAAGGGGAGAGGAAAGACATTGCATCAAGGTTCTGTACTCGACCCCCCTTTTTACTCATCATCTCTGTTTTTCCACAGCAGCTTCCTATTAGGTTGCAGGAACAAAACAAAAAAAACAGCTGAATAGCTGAATACAGTATGTAATTCACACAGCTCTTTCTGACTTTTGACCAACTTGTTAAACACATTACAGCTGGTAAAAATGAACAAATCACATACGTATGGATTATATACACAAACACAGATGGTGTTGATTGCAATTATGTAGTCTTTCCAAGAACCACTTGGTCCAGTTTGGACAAACTAACAGAGTGGGAGAGTAAACATTCCTGAAGAAATATATAGTGCAGAACTTATCACAAACATCTCATTTGTCTTCATCAGCACTGACTTGCACTGTATGTGTCTCCCACAAAGGAATGTCTTGTTCCATGGTAAGCAAATTCAGATCTCCTTTGAAAATGGGATCAAAGTTAAGTAAGATGAGCCCCCGTCAACTCCACACAAACTTTTTTAAACAGTTCATACAGTTTATACATTTCTCAGAAAGCTAAATTCCCTAATGTAAAATGTGTCATAAAATGGCAGTGTGATACAACATTCTTACCCTCAAGTGTGTCACACTGAGCCAGATTGTGATAGTCGGAGCGAGTCAGGATTCCGGCTTTCAGTCCTCGAACCAGACCCTCCAGATAGCCATGATCCACGTTGAAACTGAGCTCTGCCATGATGCCAAGTGAGCTATCAACCAGCCTGGGTGCATTTAAAGTGATATTTCTCTGCCCAAATGGGTCTATCTTTGTTTGTTTTTTTACACTGACTTCTGCATTATCCCTCTCTGACTAACATTCATGCGGTTATTTTCCCTTCCTCTTTGACACCAAGAAATTCCATAGCTGCCCTAAAAGTGTCCAGTTCCTTCTCTCAACTACTTTTAATATAGATACCCAGGCTAATAATGTTTTTGTGTGTACTCTACTCTATGCCCAGGGGGAGAAATATCTCTTTTTTTAAAACAGTTTGAGTTTATAAATCATAAGCCATGATGTTCTTTGGCCCGACATCATGCAGGGGTAAAAGGAATGAAGCGAACTCATCTGTTTTATAACAGGCGGTAGATGAAAAATGACCTTAAATGCTCTTCCATAGTCAAATGCTCCCCATATTTATGGACAATGAATGTCAGTTCACACATTTTTACATGTGTGAGAATGGATCTGTTCATAATCAGGCAGAAGAACACAGATCATGTGGTTTTTGAAGATGGCATTTTTGAAATTTATCATGTTCCCTGCACACATTTATGTTAGACATAATCGCTGACCTTTCCTCGTGTCCTCTTGTCTATATACAGGTACATGACTATTTTTGATTCAAGCATTGATTGTGACATAATCAGACACAGTACATGTATTCAGCTCAGTGAATTTATATGGGTCCCTTCATCATGGATTACTATAATGTTAATATGGCTCTTTTCATCAAAACTTCGCTTGTCTTATTGGATTTTATTGGTCATGGTTTTTTAGGACTTTCTGAAGATATGATGATCTCTAGTGTGCATTATCTTGAAGCATTACACATAGTTGTCCTGGAAGAGAACACACATCGGCTTTAGTCCCTGTTTTTCCACACGACAGCGGCCAGCAAACATTTTATATAACTTCTTCTTTTTGTTGCTTTGTTTCGATGATTTCTCTCATATTTCCTAAACTAAACATGGTTTCCTCCCATAAATCCACATACAAGTGACATGTAATTCTACATTTATGTATGTATGCATTTTAGGACATTTCCACTCAAAAAACAACTAAGTAAAAGTACAAAGCACAAGGATAATATAGGTTTATGATATATTTATTTAATATCATAAACATAAACTAAGTTTAACTCATAAATCCGCATTGGGAATAATGAGCAATTCCACATTTTGGGATCTCAATGCATCTGTTCTCCAAGGAATATTTTACATAGGATCAGAAAAGTCAGACTTTTAATTTGTAGTTTACATGTGTTTGTCTACATACATGAAAAAGCAATGTCACTCATCCTTTGCTTCACCTACTGTACATACTGTATGTTGGGTATTTGGATATTCTGTATATACTTATGTGAATATTTTCATCTTTATCACTTAGAAGACTAAAGACAAAAAAAACACAGGATTCATTATTTCATCCTCTTCTCTCCTTTCATCCTTCAAGTGTTGAAGCCACAGACAATACAAATAACTTTTTTTTTCATGATTTCCCAAACGTCTTAGTATAAATGTTATCTGAACTGTGCATTTCTTTGTTTATATATGCCTGTCACTGTATAATGGAGGTGCTGGGTTGTATCTGTGCATGTGCGCGTTTGTGCTTCATCTACGTCTTCTTTAAGCACAGGGGGTTCATCCTCCAGCAGTGACAGATGGTGTTGAAGAGTCGACAGTGGCAGGAAGCGCAGGGGTCACAGCACGGGACATGGGTGGAGCAGCTCTCCATCAAGTGGCCACAGCGACGGGCAGGGGTCATGACGTTTGACTTGTTTTTCTGAAACAAAAAAAAAAGGAAAAGTAATCCCTCTGGACCCTATGGATTACAACTCACCAATTCAGATATATTCACACAGAAATGCAAACTTACACTGCCAGCTTCCCGAGAAATTGAGCCACACTCTTGTCATTTTAAGCATTCATAAGCATGCCTCACTGATACGTTTGTGAACACATGGTGGCCTTATTGAGATAAAAAGGCAGTTAAAGAGGCAAAAAAACAAAGCTTACAGGAGTGTGACTTTCCTGTGGTGGAGAAATCTTTCGTCTCGCAAACAGTCGTCTGGTCTTCGCTTGGCTCCAATCTACAGTTGGAAATAACAGAAGAATCAATGGTTAAAAACAATCCACATACATCCATTATTATACAGATTTTTTACTTTTTCTACTTTTTTCCAGTGGATGTCAATTCAGTTTTGAAGAAAAACAAAAACGTCACCATACCCTCTTGAGAAAGATATTCTGGTCACACATAAAAAAAATTTAAAAAAAGAAGCTTCATGTTTATCCTCCTCCTTTTGTTTGTCAAGACAACACTTAGCCTCAAAAGAGAAGTTAACATGCATACAATACTATACGAATATGTATCCCAGATGGGTGGTTATGGTCTGCCCTGGGGTCGTCTTACAGTCGGATGTCCCTAGCTACTGTGAAGGTGCACTAATTGTACTCTGAGCTTCTATTGGATGTCCAAACTCCTCGTTGTCCTCTGGGAATCTGCATCTTAATGTGGTGAACGGGTTTATGTGTCCCTAGGAGCTGTATTGTCGGGTTCAGTAAGCCTCTTTTTTTGCCTTGGAAGATCCTATGCACAAGGCAAAAAAAGAGCAATTCGAGAACCCGTATGACTCGACCACAAATTGAAAGATAACCCTGATAGGACATAAGCAAACCGGGATCCCCTCCGGGAGCAAGTGGTGGTGGCCTGGCAAGCATCCATGGGATAAGGTTGAGTTGCCACCATATGGACTCAACACCCACAGGGAGCAGGCTTAAGGTTCAGTGCATTGCCGGAGAACTTGGCGCTCTGACACCGATTTTAATAAACTGAAATTTATTTACTGTGAGTAATTTATTGCTAAAGTAGATCCATATTTCCCTCTAAACAAGCCAAGAAAGAAGCCTCACTGACAGCCGCGCAATTTGGGCGTCCGTTCATCTCCTTCAGAGACAAGTGATCACTCTGTCATCAGGTGGGCTGTAAGGCCTCATCTGGACGAGAGCAACGAGATATTCTGCTTTCCTGGCTTCTTTCTTTGGTCCATGGCCATCCTGACGTAAGCGTTTTCAACACTTAATCAAATAAGGTTGTACAAAACATATCCTGCCTCTCTGCGTCATTTGTCAGCCAGTTGGCAGGAGGATGTATTATTGATCATCATCTCTTCCCTCACACTCTTGCCTGATAACAGTGAGAATCAGATGGAAACGGTTTTGGCTCACATAGAAGAGCTGAAGTGAAATCCATTTTAAATGTGTTGAAAGATCGTTTTTTGAGATAATGATTTATGGTAATATCTGAACAACTGCTACTAGAATATCACAATAACAGGGAGGTGAATTTCCATGAAACGTGAAGACGTTTATGGTCCCCAGGGGATGAATACTAATGACACCCTAAGTTTCCCTCTAGCGCCACCAGCAGGTTAACATTTGTATTTTTGTGTGAAATGTCTGAAATCTGGTAAAGGTATCCATGTTGCCAAAAGTATAAGTTGTCATTACTTTGATGATCCTGACTTTTCATCCAGCGCTTGATGAAAAGGTCAAAATTATAATACGTCCAACATTTTGGTACAAGACTAACAACCATAGACTGTGTAAAATATAGCGTAGTCTCCGTGACGTCACCCATGGGTTTCTGAGGAGCCTTCTGAAGCTCAAAGTGGGCGGCCGTGGCCCCAGCCATCCAGACAGTGACGACACACTGACTCTCAAGATGAGCAAAAAGGTGGATCACCGGTGGAGCTGAGTCGGGCCCAGGTGAAGCAGCAGAGCAAACAGTTAGCAGCTAGCAACCCGAAACGTCACCCACCTGTCACTCAAAACGGCCACACCCTCAGTTATGCTTAACTTCAAGCCTTGATATGATTTTAACGGGTGAGTTGTGTAAAAATCCACCCGTAAAGTTGTCATGAACGGGGAAATTAGCCATAGAAACCAAAGACGATTTGTGTACCAGGCTGTAGAAATGTTTATTTCTGCTGTAAAACATTTTCACATGGGGCTCTAAGTGGTCCCTTAAAGCCCCATGTCCAGATGTCCTAGATCATCAGATCCAGATTTATTGGCCTGATAAGTAACAACATCTGAATGCGATTAGTAGACAGTGAGACAATAGTACAAAAGGATACAATAATAAATATGGAATGATTAACAAGTTGCTTTACATGAGGTAGTTGGATTTGGCACTAGTGTATACAGCGTGCTTATATTCATATTGACGGTGATATTTACATGTTGAAGAAAAACAGTGTGTAACTATAGAAAGATATAATTTACAGGTACAGTAAAGTACAGTGGATGTTACAGGGTTATAGACAGTGTATGACAGATTTTTGTGTCTGGTTGTTTTGGTGTCTAGTGTTCCGTAGCAGCTGAAACATTTTGTGTCCGGTGCGTGAAGAGTCTGCAGTGATGTTTCCTGCCAGTTTCCTGACTCTGAAGTTCTGAATGGAGGGCATACTGGCACCAATGATTTTCACTGCAGTCCTGGCGGTCCAGAAATAGATCTGAGGCGGGATGAAGTTCTTAAACTGGTGCAGGAGGTACATCCTCTGCTGGGCCTTTCTCCTGATGTTTCTATGTAGAAAGTCAAGGTTGGCCGTTGTGTTCTGCAAACTTCACTAGGACGGTTGCAGGACACCATCCACTGACCTGTTCACCTGGTAACTGCCGGGGGTCCAGCATGGGTCCTGTGATGTCCTTCAGGTGGGTAAACAACAGTGTTTCATGATCACAAACATCAGGGCAATGGGCCTGCAGTCATTTAATGCTGTGATGGACGGTTTTTCTTGAGGACCAGGACGTTTGTGAAGTCTTTAAAGCAGAAGGGGACTCCAGTGATCTGTTGGTCTGTATGAAAATGGGGGCCATCTGGTCAGCACAGACTTACAGACAGGAGGTGGACATATGTCTGGGCCTGGTGCCCCTCTGATTATCTGTCTTTAAGGTGTCTGGAGGTGAAGGCAGCTCCAAACGTTGGAAATGTATCATGACAATCAATGGTTCTTTTTTTGTACATCTTAACAGTAACTAACCGCACTGAGAACAGTATGTACAATAAGTACAGTGTGTTTCTTTTTCTCTCCTGAATTAATCCGCCATGCCAGATCATCTGCACAGATTAGCATAATATATTAGAATATTTGAATTTGAAGCATTATCAGCTAAAATAAATAGTAGATAAGACTGTCAGTGTTCCAAAATATAAAAAAATGATTTGGCTTTACGCCTCCTCTCTGCTGGCCATTCTTTGGATCATCACGAAAACAAGCTTCATCAAAGTCAAACTACTCACCTCAGACACTGGCACCTTAAATTCTTTGTACGAATCCTTCATAAACTGGGCTAGATGCTATGCAAGTTCACAAAGGCAACAAATCATAAACCCTCCTTCTTGGCTCAGACATCTTTCTCTCTGCCCTATAACTGACGGCTGCTGCTCCTTGCCGTCCAATCCTTTATATAGTCTTTGGCCAGATGTTTAGGCTTCATCCGTTATTTTGAAGAAAATACCCTCAGCTTGGTGGTGTCTCATGCCTCTCTTCCTGCTGATGCTGATCCACGTGCATATCTTCCTTTTTTTAGATATCTCCATTTGACTTCTTAAAATACAAACTGTAAACCCGAATAAGTTACCAGAACTCAAACAAATTGAGGCAATCGATTGCCTCAATTTTTTTGAGTTCTCCAGAAGTTTTTTTTAATTTTCCAGAACTTAAAAGCTTGGATGACTTGCTACTTGTACCTTTTGATAACAGTTAAATTAAAGTGCTCAGTTAATATGACTTACAGTTTTCTGTTAAGGCAACTCAATTATTCTCAGTTATTATGACTTAAAATTTCAAGTTTTCAAACCACTAGAATAAGTTCACAGAACTTTAAAAAATAAGTACACAACCACATTATTTCATGTTAACCAAACTCAATGTTTATTAGTTTGTGTTTTCATTGTTTTAAGTACACATTAGTCAAACATGTTGAATTTGTTTACTTAAAAAGATGTGACTCGAAACTTAACATTTACGAGGCAATTGATTGCCTCAATTATATTGAGTTTAACTAACTCAATATGAACAGTAGTAATAGAAGTGGTAGAAGAAGTAGTAGAAGTGGTAGTAAACCTGACAGTGTCAATGATGACAGAGATTCTCACAGGGTGGTAGTGAACTGGACTTGTGTCATGGTCACTGATGACAGTAAGGAGGCCCACTGCAACACCATCAAGCTCATCAGACTCATCCTGAATGAATGAAAAAGAGATACTAATCACAAACTAACACATGGAACAGAACGGATGACATATAATGTATCTTTCTTTAACCAAGTCCAATTGAAAACCAATACCTCTTTTACAAGGGCGACCTGGGTCTCATTGTAAGAGGTGAAAAACATAAGATCCATATTCTGCACACACGAATCAGAGAATCTAAGTGGTGTGAGATAGACTGAAACCACGCTAAAGGACATTTACAGGAAAATGTTTTAATGAACATCTTATCATTTGCCAATACAGTTCCTTTGTAGTGAGGAGAAAGAAAACAGACCATACATGAAAACTGTATGGGTAGACTAAACAAAGGTAAGTCCTAAAAGATATTAGTATTTTGATGAACTGTTTACATAATACACAGTAGAATCTGTTAGTGACTTAAGGAGACCCACTGTGCAGGTTCTGAAAAATCCAGAAACGTCCTCGTGCAGATACACAGGAAGGGCGTGGAGAACAGTAGTGCGCTTGGTGTGGATGTCATGGATTTCCTATTCAGATAAAAATAGAATTGTACATACTGAAGAGTTTACTGAGCAAAGCTGATTATAAACAGTCCAATCAGAACATATGTCCACAAATAACCTGTTCACATCTTTAATGCTATCAGACAAATGGCAAACAAAAAGTGGACTAATTGCAAAATTCACAAAGCTCATTTGAGTCATTGAACCTGTTCGAAGTTCCACCGGTTCAACCTATGAAGTGTGGTATAATCTATTTACCTGTTCATCGTGGATTTTTAAAATTTCAGCCAGAGCATCTGCTGTCTTCCCAGTTTTTGATGCCTTCTGTCTGAATAAGGTCATCAGTCGAGGAAGATGACGATCAAGCTCAGCATAGAATGTGTTGGGCAGGTTCTGATTCGTAATCCGCTGGAACTCTGCATACAACTACATTGAAATAACAGCAGGAGGAGAATACAGCAATACTTAAAAAAACAGTTCAATTTGAAGAATCTAGCACACATTTATAAAGCAGAAAATAGCAGCCAAATGAGTAAGAATCACAATTTTCACTTAAAAAGAGAGAGTTGATCCATATTACCTCAGACTCTATTTTGAGAGCAGGCCAGAGGTCCATGAGCTCGTTCACTGGTGGGCAGGACATCACTCTGGTCTGTCGGCATAGGGGAAATGTGGTCTCCATCATCTTTCTAATGAAGGGCAGGTTCTTCTCAGTCTGAAATGTGCAAATGCAATCAATGTAGAGGCATGGAAGAGGGCTGATTCTGGAATAGTGGCTGTGCTGCAGCCTATAGTGTCTAAATAACTGTATTCTGGAGGTGAAAGAAGCTGCGCACAACTTACACTTCCAGATCATTTTGGAACCAGCGACCTAAAAGGCAAAGAAAAAAATAACAAAGTTTAGACCCTTATCTAAAACTTTTAAAACAGAAAAGATGGTATTTATGAACAGAACACATTCATGAATTGTTGACTTGAATACGGCAAAATGTTTTATTTTGATCAAACAGGCAAATAGAAGATGAGCAATATATTGCTTTAGATAGATGCAAATGCTATGCCATATTCCAATTATTATTCATCACAGTTTGTCTTTTTTTTTTCTTCAAACAATATGTTTCTGTGCAGTTCTTTGATATTTCTTACTTAGGCACTCTTCCCACAACACGTGTGATTCCCATGCAACAACCTGTGATGTCCTGACACCCAGGTTAGGAACCACTGGTATAATGCACTGACATAAACATAGTTGTCAATAAATAATTTGTTGGTGGCATATCTGAACATTTCATTTATGCAGCTTACATGCAAGTCTCAATAACACCACCGTAAATTACTAGCTATTTAGTATTTACCATGCAGGGTCTAACAATAACGTGCTATTTTATTTGCCACGGTATACATGTCTTGAATAACTTACTTAGCTTGAAAAAACCTGTTGTCAGAAGTTTGGTGGCGTTAGCTCAGAACAATAGTGTAGCCTAATCTTTATCTGCAACTGTGCAGAAATTCCAGGTTTACACAAAAATTAATGAACAGAATGACGTGCAATAAAACAAAAGAAATGCCACAGAGACGCGAGTGACGGCAAGTTTGATGCAGAAACACCGGGCGCTACTCCTGGACCAGCCGAGAAGCACGGGAGGCCAGTATTTGACTTAACTAGCTTGTTTGACTGAAAAGAAGACTGCGATTTTAAGATTCACCGTTAAGTAACGTTAGCTAGCGTACGTTTGTTAGCCGCCTTTTTCTCAGTCAAACAAGCTAGTTTAGTGCTCCTCGGCTGTTCCGAGATGCACCGTCAAGTAACGTTAGCTAGCGCTAACCTACGTTCGTTAGCTAGAGTAGTTAGCTAACGAACGTAGCTTAGCTAACGTTAAACCGCAGTTTTTAGCTAACGTTACTTAATGGTGCATCTCTGAACAGCCGAGGACAGTATTCCACTAGTGTTAAACTAGCTTGTTTGACTGAGAAAAAGGCGGCTAACGTTAGCCAACGTTAGCCGACGTTAGCCGCCACTAACATCTGCATCTCCAAGTTCAAACCAGCCACCACTGAAGTAGAGAGACAGACACAGGCAGAGAAGACTGAAGTCTCAGCGAGTGGAGCAGATGTAGTAACGTCGCTCGCTAAACAAAGTCTGGAAAATTATTTCAATTAAATTATTGTTTTACTTTTTCAAGGTTTGGCAACTGGCTGATTGTAACATAACTTAACTTCACTGGCCCGTTGTAACTTTTTACTGGCTCTTAATGTTGATCCCTGTGATGGCATAATAGCTCATACATTACATATATCAACTTATATATAAACACATATGATTTCACTCACCTTTAAAACAGTCTGAGCCCACGATGCCACCCAAGCCTGGTCCGAAATGGGTACAGGACAGGAGGAAAGTCAACTTCGCCCGCCAAATCCCCATAATGCACTTTGATTATGGTCGCAAAAAGCTACAGAGAATGTGGACTTGCAGTGTAGGAACTCAGTTTGATCTTAAAAATTATCCTGTTAAGTAAAAAGAAAAAATATAAAGGCTACATTAAACTGATGACAATAAAAATACAAAAAATAAATGAAATAAATACATTTTGTCTTCCACTAATGTCTAATGCATTTCAGACCATTTGCTCCAATCAAATTGTTACTGTTTTAATATGCTATGATTGCAATTTATTTGTTATGATCGATTTTACTTATTTGGTGAAGCACTTTGAGATTTTATTGTATTTTAGCATGTAAATTGGGTTTATTTTTAAATCATCCCTATTTGAAACAATAGAAATAACAGGACTTTATCATTCTTAGCATGTAATTACTTAATTATATTAAGTTGTACTTAAGTTATGTTTTTAAGTTATGCTTACTTATACACAAAATAGTTCCATTTAATCAAAAATTATTAGTTAAAATTACTCAAAAGGAAGAACATGTTATACCAACTTGTCATAATTAAGTTAGTAGAACTTTTTCTAAAACTTTGAGTATACACTACTTAATCTATTTGATTACTTTGGACGTTCGGGTTTACAGTGCATATTCTGGGAAACCAACATCTGTCTTCTTCACAAATTGTAATGAAACATTAGATTTTCACTACACAATATTGTGGCCAAAATAATTTTACAATGACAATATCATCGCGACATCTATATAAAATTTTAAAATAATTTTAATGTTATCAGTCATATTTTGTCTCTTTTATAGCAAATTAATTACACTCATAATACGAGGGTGGTAAAGTGTAAAACAGGTGTTGGAGATCAAACACACAGCTGAGAGAGAGTGAATACTGGACCCACATTCACCAGGTGGCCAGAGAAACACTACTACGACATTGAAGTTCTGCATCTACTGTGTATCAACCATTTGAAAACACTTTTGCTACATTAGCTATAGCGTTATGTTACTTTAAAAAGGAACAAGTCCTGATCCAACTGTAAACAAACAGTTTACCGGCAGCACAGCATTTCCAATCTCAGGACTGCACATAATCATCAAACTAATTGACAGGTGTTTTCAGTGTACAAATGAACAGAAGACAATTACACAATATAAGTTTTAGAAGTTTCTGTGGCTGTTGAAGGTTTGGCATTAAAGTTTGCAATAAAGTGGGTTTATTACACAGGAATATGTATGTGTGTTTTTTTTACTTTTAATTCAAACTCCTGGTAAAAATGATGGATTGGGGCTTTAAGTGTGAAAGACTCTGCACATTTCATGCTCATACTGTATTAAAACTACTCCCTCACTAAAGAAAACAAGCTGAATCAAACCAAAATGAAACCATGCTTTAGCCAAATTAAAGCTGTCACAAAGAATCTGAATACTGATGATCGGTCAGTCCAACGATTTGCTTTCAAAAATTTTTGCTTCAAAAAAGTATAAAAACATTGGTTTATTATAACAATATGCATGATTATATAATAAAATATTCATGAATTAAATAATGTATACAGCTATAGCAATAAAAGCTGGAAACCAAAAGATTTCAACATATCTAAGTTTTTGGGTGTTGATAACTTTGACAAAAAATAATCGGACTCATATGTTTGCATTAGTGAGGAATTTAAACTTCATTACAAAGCCTCCTCTGAACAGATTAATTGTGATAATTGTATGCGTTATTTCTTACGAAATTATATTTTTAAATAGAAATTTAACCATGAGCAATAACTAACCTCCGACTCTTCTTAATTATTTGGCCTATTTGATGTTATTACTGATTACTTTGCAAAACAAGTGTTTGTAATGTATGCATTTTAAAATGGCACCCATACAGTCGCAGGTATTAATTTAACTAGTTATGCTCCTTTATATTACGAGCTGCATGCACGGTGCAGCATTTTAACGCCCGTTTAGCGACTCACGGCGCTAAATGAAGCGAATCAAATCAGTTTGAATGATTCACATGATTTAAAAAAAAGGTGCAATACTCACCTACGTTATTCTCACTCTTCTTCACATCTTGCTTCATGTCCTCTGCCCAGGACAGCGGGAACGCAAGTAGGAGAAAGCACAACAAGTGTCTGCCGGCTACCTTCCTCATGATGATGATGATGATGAGTCCTAAAAATCTGTCTCACGTCAATTGAATGAATCCAAGACTACCAGGCGCAACTGGGGGAATAATCTGTGTTTGTACTTCTTCTACTTTAAAGCCTCTCTGTGAGGAGGTACCTCTCCCTATGACGTATGGGTGGGTGACGAACGACAAAGACCGAAACGCGGCACCTCACGTGACGGGCTCGACGCACGACAAGAGATGAATTGCCCTGGCAACAGACATTAGATGGGGCAAACGTAATAACGTAGGGATTTAGTGATTTTGGGGCACGAGGCAAACTGACCCATCGTGCTTTATATTCTCAGATGTTCACTGACTGAGAACCCTTTGGTGGTAAGAAGTACTCACATCCTTTACTTGAGTAAAAGTATTCTACCAACACCACACCGTGAACAAAAGCCTGCAAGTAAAAGTCCTGCATCTAAAACCTCACTTAACCTTACTTTGAAGTATGTCAGTATTATCAGCAAAATGTATAAATATGTAAAACTATAAGTAGTCATTGTGCAGTAAAATGATCCAAGTCAGTGTTTAACTATATTATATGTTGGAATAATATCACTGCTGCATTATGAGATTTACTGATATAGATGCTTACGGTTGTGCTAATTTCAACTCCAGTTCATACTGATTTAAATCTAAAGCAATGCATCATATTCTATAATATCATATTGTAGTGAAGGCCCACATTTCCCAACATTCCTAGTACTAATATTCATATAATGGATATTAGTACATATGATGGATATTAGTACAGGGCTGACATAGCTGAGAGACTCCTCCCTCCTCTAATTTCATGCCGTACACCACACTGTTAGCAGTGGGATTCTTCTGGAGTCAGCATGTACAAGTTGGACATTACGCAAAAGATCAGCACAGACTTACCTCTCAACGGCCCACAGAATAAGGCCCACAGTGAAATGATCCTGAATGATCCTTTAAAGGCCCTGCACACGCACAGGTGTTTTCACTTATTCAGGTTGATTAGACTTCTGCTCATGTTATAGTTGGGTGAAGCTATGCTGGATTCACTCAAATCAATATATTAGGTCTAATCAGGAAAAATAAGTGAATACACCTGTTTGGGTGGACATGGATGGATTGGGTCTTTAAAGCAGATTCAGTATTGCCTTCTTTGTTATGGACGTGTACTTGTACACTCAAAGTGCTTTTACACTATATGTCATTCACCCATTTATACAGCATGTGTAGGCACAGCAACGGGAGCAATTTGGGATTAAGTGTCTTGCCCAAGGACACATCGACATGGACTAGGGGAGCCAGAGATCTAACCACCGATCCTCTGAATGAAGGACGACTCGCTCTATCACTGAATGGAAAAACATTTTGACATGTGACAGTGAGAAAAGCACAGATGTAAATATTACAAAAAGCTTGCATGTAGCAGCTTCATTTTCAGTGTCCTGGTATTGCAAAGTGCATGCTTGCTCACGGTGACACTGTGCTGGATCTAAATTGAACGGAGCCATTCTTAATGTTAGTAACACTTTGTAAAAATGACTGCTGTGAAACAGACCTGTTATCAGGCTGGTCTATTTCCAGATTGACAAAAGTCAACCCTTTATTAGACTTAATTTGATACTGAACTAGAAAGGTGTACTCAGTAGAGTGCAGATCTCCACTGCTGTGTAATGACGCAACCAATGGGTTGTAAAGCATCGTACAACACACTTCATTCACATTTTCAAAAAGCGACAATGTCTGCAAGCAATTGGCTCAGTTAGCTGATAGCCAAACACACCACAAACTCTATATCAACACTAGCAGCCCCTGCAGGCTGGGGTCTGGTTAAGCGTAGTGACTAAGGAGTCAGCGAGCAGTCGATGGCTGTCTGAAACAGGCAATAAAAGGTGTTTTCAGAAAGTGTGAGTTACTGCAACCAAGAGAGGTCCTTGAGCATGCAGCCATAAGTGGCCCCCCAAAATATAATGCAGTTTGCTGCAGCAGAATGCAACATTAGACACAGAGTTGCACACTCACTCACGGACGCCTGCACCCACTCATTGCATGATCAGAGATAATAATGAAAAAAATACTGACCCTATTATTTTATGTGTATTTGTCTTGCGTTTCGTTTCTATGAACAATTTTAGCTTCCTTTCTAAAGCAGTACTTTTGATAATACTGGACTCAAAGAAGAACGTGTCATGATATAAGGAAAAAGTGCCTTGTATTTGTTTCCTGTTGTTATCAACATAAAAATCATTGGGAAATACATGACCCATTAGAGTCAATGTAGTTAGAATAGTATAGAGTTCTATTATAAGTTTTGTTTTTTTGTAACCCACACAGTTGACAGTGTTCAACACTAAACTATTCCCCCTTAGGTGCAGCTTTGGAACACATACAGCAAACCATCGTTCTGTGGGCACATGATTCTATTTGTTTCAAAGCTCCTCATTGGAGGATAAATTACCGCCACAGCAGGATAGAATGATCCAATGGACGCATATAAATAAATAAAGTAATCTGACTCCTGTGCAGTTTTTGTTGGACCTGTACTTTATTTACCTTACTTTATCATTTCTCACTGATGTTGATGAAACTGGAGGTCAGGTTCAGGTTTACAAAATCCACAGTTAAGCTATTGTTTGTCTTACTCTGCAAAAGTTATTTCAAGGAATTTGAGGCATCTCGCCAACTCCAAAATGCGAATCAGGTGATGGGATGGATAAAATACTTGGTATTTTTATTGGATACTTACATACATAAATACATAGGTACATAAATAGCAGGCACATGGTTTTATATCCTCTTCTTATGTAATCCAACCCTCATCACATTAAGAGTGTTTGAAGTGAAATGAAAGGTCTATAATAGCTTAATGCTCCCTTTGAAAATAAGAGAAAACTAAATCAGATTTATGTTTACAGTCTGAACAATTATGATCCCGAATCTTATTTAACTTCTTCTGATCACCCTGGTGAGTCTTTCACATCTGGCAATTTTATGCAAACCTTTGAAAAGTGTAGAGACAATAACTTACTTTAATGCAAGAATCTCCTCTTTATTTGATGGACTTTTGGAGACTTAACTATCCAGCTGTCATAGTTGCATTGTGTAGTTTTACTTTCTGAAAATGAAAAATGCTTTAGTCACATACGTAGCCTATGGTCATTCTGCAGGATGTTGGTGCAGGATGCAGGATGATTCACAAACATTCCTAGGTATCCATTGGGAATTCAAAATGCTTTATTACTCCACATAAATCAACTGCCAGGACAGGTTTCAGGACTTCACTTCGGGACATTCACTTTGAAGATTTATGCAAATGTTAGTAGACAATTCTGATTGGTTAATGTTCTGTATACTGACAAACCCTTCAATTTGCTGTTGAATCTTGTTAAAAGCCACTTAAGATCAATGTTTCAGAGGAAAGACAACCGCTAATAAAATCAATCTAATTGCAAGTCATATGGACGGAGTAGTGGAACTGAAGGAAAATAAGATTAGTGGTGCAATATTAGAAACACAAACAGTACAAGGTCATTACTGTCGACCCACTATCAATCCAAAATCTCTCCTGTAAGGGTGCCTGGTGTGCTGCTTTTGACAATTATCCAATAAATGCCTCTCTCTGTGTCAACACCCAAATCCCCAGAAGCACCAGTCCCAATTTCACAGCCCATTACCAAACAGTGGACTGAGTGACCTTTAAGCTTTTGGGGAAGATGTGGCACCAACAAAGTTCTAGATGAATGTGAGATTCTGGAAAATGCCAAAATATAAAAAATATGTATAATTTTTGTCTTACCATCATAGACAGTGCCCCCTCCAGTGTATAGGCTGGTTTCACAAAGAAACACTGCGACTATGTAATAGCTATTTGACTTCCATTAGACGTCTAAATCCATCTGTTGCACAAAGCTGTCCAGTTCTTTATAATTTTCGGACTAATATTCAATGACTTCTGGGTAAATTAAGACTTGTTTCAAACTAAGAAACATGGCTGCTCAGCTCTGTTCATTCCAGCAGATAATGTTTATTTGTTCAGCAATGAGTGTCATTGCATTTAAAGCACAAAATTGCGAGCCATGTTTTCCCCTTTTCTTCCCTTTTTCTGCGCTAGCCTGACAGAAACCTTACTATTTGTGAATCTATCAAACTTTCCTGGCAACAAACGTAAGCCTAACATTACCTGAGCAGTCAAAAATATCTTACATGCATCTGTAAGAAAACCTCCAGTGCCTCCAAAGCTCCAGGTTCATTGTGTGCTTTACTGATATATTGCAAATGTCTTTGAGAACATGAACTAAAGCAAGCAATAAACTGAATGATAAGAGTCCCTGAGGGGCCTTGTGTCAAAATATAACATTTCAGCTGATATCATGCTTACATAGAACGTACTCCTAAATAAATGTATTTTAAATCAAATGATCACATTTAAAAAAAATAAAAACAGCAGTCCCAAGGAAGAATATTAATCAAGAATATTAGTGTTTGTCCTTTTCTTGGGCCAAAGTTCAAAATTTAATGAATCTGGCATGCAACTGTGTGACTCAAAGGTGTTCTCGCCCAAAAATCTATCAATAACTGGATTGTGAGCAGTGATGCATGATTTATGTCCACATCAAGTCCCCTTGTTTTATTTCCCCAACATTGTCTTATTTCTCCATTATTAGAACTTTCAACCTCTGAGCTGTTGAAAGCAAAAAATAAACATTTTGAAAACCTTTCTGTCTGTACTCTTGAACTCCCTTGGACACATGTAAATGAAGTAAGTGATCTGTATCTATATATCTATCTATATGTCTTGGATGTCTTGTCTTATTGATGTTCATGTGAGATGAAACCCTGTCGAGTAATCTGTAAACAGCTGTTCCATGTTTGTTGTTCAGCTCTTTATACATCTTGGGATTCTGACACCTTTTGGGCATCATTTTAGGGAAATGACATACTTGTGTTTCCACTGACTGATTCCAAGTCGGCTGATTACAAGTAGGAGATGAATTTGCCTTTTATGAAGAAATCCATAACTGTGTTCAATCATTATGGCCCTAACTTTTCCCTCATGGTCAGCTGGCAGAAAGCTGTACTTCTGATGTTCTGGCGTAGAGCAAGTGTGGGATTCACTTCACAGCAGAACATTTTTCTCCAAGGTGCTATAATAGATGGATCAACAATGGACTAAATCTAAGTGATTCTTTTATTCACACTGTTCGTGGTTTCTTCACCTATGACAGTGTCATTGTTTTCACAAGTGTGTGTATGTCAAGTCAAGTCCAACTCTGAAACTTTGTGCTTCAAGTCCTAAATAAGTAATTATCTTTCTGTGTGCTGGTCTGCACCTTTATGCTTGTGCAAATTAAATTTGCTGCTTTGGGATTGATTTAAAATATTGCCTCATGCCAAGAACATGTGATTCACTGCAGAGTTTTTACAATATAATCTTTCATCTTTGGCCGTTGGGAGTTATTCCAAGTCAAAAGGCTCAAGTCAAAGTGAAGTCACGAGTCATTCTAAGTGAAAGTAGAGTTGCATCTGTCTTTATCAAAAGTCCTCAAAACACCCATTTCAACATGAGTGGATTTATGGTGGGATTGTTATTATTTATCTGAGGAGAACACAATGTATGAATAAAAATATAAAGCAGTAAGGCTCTCCGACATTCTGTATTGCTTTCAAATATTTATCCGTGCAACACACATGCATGTCATGATTTACTTGTGTGTCCTGTGTTATGGGAAGTAACCTCTTTGAATGTACCCATTTTTACATCAATAATATCCATTTTCATTCATTTATGAACCCCCTTGACTTTAATAGCTCATACGTTTTTCAGCAAGATTTCTGCTCATGTTCAAAACGTTCTGCACATTCAAAACATTTCCACCATAGCTGTGTTTTCTGAGATGTCGAGACCAAAGTTGTAATAATTTGAGGAAAAAGCCGTAATATTACGGGAATACGGTCGTGATTTAATGCGAATAAAGTCATAATATTTCAAGAACAAAATGACCTGCTCTATAGTGTGCTTTGCAAGTCTCTTCATCTGAGGTGGAAAACCGAAACTGAAAGCACTTCTGATCAGACATGAATCATATGATGTGGCCTATTTTCCACACAGATGTTAACTTCACAGCTGCTTCCCTCAGCCTTTCAGTAGGAAGCATCTTTAACAATATGTTTATTATTCTTCCTTTTTTAGATGTTTATTATTTTTCATATCTTGGTTAGGCAGTGGGACTACTGTCAGCTTCCCTAGACTTTTTATTCTGACATGTTCTTTTCATTCAACTCCGTTTCATTGTACAATTTAAATAGAATGTTGTACAAATGCATTCAGTGTGCCAGCACAAGTCTCTGCCCACATCTGTTATTTGTTCTGTGACTCAAATAGAATGAATGAAGTGAAACAAAGTGGCTCTTCAGTCCGATGTATGAATGTTATTCACATTTTGAGGGGTAAAAATCTCGGCCCAACTGTGCTCAAGGTTTAGAGAGATGTCCTTTTGTTTGAAGAGCACATGAAAGCCCTGGAGGCAAATGTCTTCCATATGCGTGTGACGAGAACAGAACATCAAGTTCCCTTTGATCCCTTTGATTCAGGTGCTGCTGCTTTATCCTTGGAAACTGATAACACACTGCCACCTTCTGGTCATATTTGTCTTTCCAAACTCATAGCAACATCATTAATAACAAGGTTCATTGCTGCTGTTAGTTGACAAGGACTCTTGAAGCTCTCCGAAGAAAGTGACAGGGATCTGTGGGAGAGGAAATCATTTCAATACAGTGTACAGTACATGTGATAATACCTCTTCTATGTCTGTGCAAAAGACACACAGAAGATTGACTTCCTTCTTCAGGGAGGACAACCACTCCTTCTGAAGTGGTTGTCCTTCTCCTCCAGTGTCTTCTTTAGAGTGTAAACTTCTCCCTGATTTTCAAGGCATTCCCTCTGAAGATGATGGTTCCTCCAGAGTCTCACAAAAGCCTGTACAACAGACAACGGTTATCAGATTTCTTGACCTTAAGCCCTTGAGATAATATTTTTGTGAAGAAAGTGACATCGCCCTACTTTCCTCCAGACTGTCAAATGAACTAGGTGAGTCAACCAAACACAGAGAGTGTCTGACAGCTTCACTGAGAAGCACATAGATTGCCTCTCCTCCAGAAGATCCTCACCGGTTGTCTTCGAACCAGCCCTTAGGGGGCAGGGCTCAACGAATGCGGGGAAACAACTTTTTAAGTTGCAGCGAAGCAATGAAGGAATGGCTGAGAAAAACAGAAAATATAATAAGTATGCAACACTGTCATATTAGTGAGAGTGAAAGGTCGTTTATGATGATGAAAGCACTCACACTGACAAGCGGAATGAAGATTAATGTCATGTGTATTGGATTAATTACAATGTTTGGAGGCTGCAGATTTTATCACCCGGCAGATCTGCCCTTTCCCCACAAAGGTTCGTCTTTTCACACCACGATGCTGCATAAATAACATTTTAGAGTGACAGAGGTGCATGAGTGTTTCCCACCTTGTCAATGAGACTGCAGAAGTCAGTGTTCCTTCTAAAGACCACCCAGCTGTCTCTTAAAAACCTGCCACACTGAGGCCAATGCAGGCACCAACAATGAGCTGTAATATCAGAGATCACCTGTACAGTCTCTGTAGTGAGCTGTTCTGAGTGTCTTAGCAAGTTAATACACAAATAGAACATAGAGAAACATCAAATCGGGGGTTTTAGGCATATGCTGCTGTAAAATGTATACTGACATGCTCACACATGATCATTCAATGGTAATGTGCCATCAACAAACAAGTAATGTAAACTTTGTAAAGATAGGAAGTCACATAGTGTGACATCACATATATCATCAGACAAAGTCCATGTGTTTTATATGTATTGTTAAAATGCACATCCATCCACACAATTTTAGAAAACCCATCAGTCTGAGTTCTTTTCTTTTTTTCATTGATGGATTTATAATTAAGTTTGGCCTACTTAGAAATGACAGACCTGTTAAATCCCTCTACATGCCCTCTCCTCCAGGATCTTGAAGCCCAGCAGCATTGGAGCGATGGATCTCTCTATTCCCGAGGTGCCCCTCAACCTCCAGCAGTGTGGATGACCCATCCAACATGCCTCCTGTGGGTCTCCTCCAGGAGTCATCCGGCGTGGCAGCCCCAACTGCAGCACCCCAGGGTCCAACTCCTCTCCCCCAGGAAATACTCTCCGGTTGTGAAGGCTTGCAGTTCATGGATGAAGTAGAATGTACGGGAGACTCCCTTTTGGTCCAGGACCTGGCAACTCCAGTCCAGTCCACTGGGAATGGGACTTAGAGTTAGATGATAGTCTTGCTGGATCATCAAAAACTATAGACACATTGTGTGACCTCCAGTTAAAACCCTCTGCTTTACAGGGGGTTTCAGATTACAAGCGGGACAAGTGTGTCCAGTTCCCCAATCCAGAAAGTTTCTATGATTGAAAATATAATCAATTATTTTTATCTGATAAAATTGTATTTAATATAATGGTATTTGATTTATTATTATTATACGATTTTAACTATATTATACCACAAAAAAAATGTGACATTTTTATAGGATTAATTTGGAACTTATGTTTGTGTTATAAATTGTCTTCTTTACTCTGTGTATGGTCTTATTACGTGAAACGCTGAATGAAACATAGGCCTATAGTTGTTTTTCTATAAAAGTAGAGATGTGGAACGTATTACCCGTCGCAGGAAAACCCCACGTTTGGGAAATTCCAGCATGTTAAAAAAAAAAAAAAAACCCAAATTGAACAGTTGGGCTCATCGAAAGTGAAACAAAAATCTGTATTTGAGGTTTAAACGTTACAATTAATTATTAAGCTTCAAACACCTCGTCATCATATTTGGGATTGCCCCTATCTATACTTTCCTTTGGAAAGGCTGTGTGGTCAAAGGCCCGTCAAACAATACAATAAAACCCAGATCGACTCTGTCAATCTCTCGAAACGTCACTATGACCCTGAACGCATCTCACAAAACCCGGAAGTGTTTCGTCATTTGCAACAACAAAACCCACCTGAGTTTGACAGCGGCGCTGAGCGGCTCGCTGTTGTTCTTCTTCTTTCACTCAGCCTGTGGCAGCTCGTTGGAGGCAGTCTGGCCGCATAACACGAATAAACGGACAATTTAAAGCGCGTACATTCAATTCTAGTCGTTGGGTGCTCGGCGGTTTTTTTTTTCTTCAGCAAACGGGTGAACCGTTTATCGGTATCCGCTCATCAACGGTAGCTTAGCTTTGCTAGAAGTCGGCGACATTCTGGCATGCGTGTGGATGGAAGAGCTCTTCCCCATCGCGTTCACCATAAAGGTTTAGTTCTGCTTTCAGCTGCTGAGCTAGTGGAGGAGAACTCCTCAGACAGACTTCACGTAAAAGGCCCACAAACTGCCATGGAGCCGTGTGCGGCTGTGGGCTGTGTGAACATCGGCAGTCTGACCAGCACCTTGCCCGTGATCCCTTACCAGAAGCTGACAGACCTGTACTACGTGAGCAGAGGGGGCTTCGGCACCGTGTTCAAGGCGCAGCACTCGGACTGGAGGACCACTGTGGCCATCAAGTGCCTGAAGCTCGACTGTCCTGTTGGAGAAAGGTATCCTGTCTCGATGTGACCTCGTGTGACTATTTAGGCTTTCGTTGTGTTATTAAAAGGACGTTTTACAGAGACGTAACTGTGTGGTTACAGACTGTCTAAGGTGGAAACAGAGAATCAAGTCTTCAATTAGTGTCACTTTTTAATCACATTTTAGGCTTTAATCAGATGTGTCCAAAGTGTCAAAGACGTTGTTTCATTGCCTTGTCTCTTCCTGCAGCTCAGGTGAAGAAACTTGCTCGAATCCGCATATTCAAGTCTGCACACATTTCTTGAAATAATATATATTGTTCTTTTAGTTTTGCCTTTTAATTGTGAGAGGACTGTGGCTCAATCACCGGCCTGTGTAATAGCTGTCCCCTCAAATACATCTCTAATGCCTCTCATAACTCTTTGTAGACCAAAATAGTCCACTAAATACTGGACTTTTTCAGGCTCATATTAACGTTTTAGAGATTAAAAATCTGATAACGATTTATCTAAACATAAATGAATAGCATACCATTTTTGTAAGGGTTCTTTCAATTTGGTTTCTTTAAATTTGACAAAGATATTACATGTCAGGGCTCTCTGGTAGACAAGCTATGCATTGGAGACCCTATTTCTAAGTCATATTAAATATATCTTGGTATATCTGTGCTGTAATTTCTCGTTACTTTGGCCAACATGCAGTATATGCCGATACTGATATATTGGTTTCGCTGATTAATCCGACAATCAGCTTCCAAGATTCATTCCTTTGGCATGCTTCCTGTAATCCGACATTCAGCTTCCAAGATTCATTCCTTTGGCATGCTTCCTGTAATCCGACATTCAGCTTCCAAGATTCATTCCTTTGGCATGCTTCCTGTAATTATGTGTATGCCGACAACACCCCAAACGTCATCGCTGTTTTGGCTTTTGTTTTATTTATTTTTGTGAGAATAAAGACTGACTTTGTATCACTGGCTGTGTTTCAGAGAGAGGAACTGCCTGCTTAAGGAGGCCGAGGTGCTCCACAAAGCCAGATTCAACTACATAATCCAAATCTTTGGCATCTGCAACGAGCCAGAGTTCTTCTGCATAGTCACCGAGTTCATGAGCAATGGCTCTCTGGACCTGCTGCTCCACGAGGTAGCTATATGTCACCATGTCATTTCATAAATCTAAGAGGTGCTCTTTCAAATAACTGCTGCGATTATAATCGATGGCTCAATCTTAAATGATTAATAAGGATTAATGATTAATAAAACAACAGCTGTCCTTCACTATGTGGCATTTCTATTCTTTTCCTCTTTCCCTCAGGAAATGAGGGCTAAAGTACAAAAAATGTTCTGTATTCAATCAAATTACACAGTCACAAATGTAGAGAACATCTAAGCTTTCCACAGTGCTTTTGTTTCCAAAATAGCTAAAGTGAAAGAGTCTCTTTGTGGTTTTTTTGGTAAGCTGCTCTGTCTCATTTATGCATCATTCGTCATGTGTATGTATGCCATGCCATGCCAGGCATTCATGCCTGTGACTCAGCAAGCAAAAGTGGAACTTGAAAGTATTCACAGTTTATGATGAAACTCAGAAACCAGCAGGGGAAGAGAAAGAAATGCAGACAAATATAGTTTAGGGGGAATTCCTACTTGTCTTAATGTAGTAAAATGTCTCTCCTCTCTTGTCATGCTCTGTTTTGTAGTCGGTCTCCCTGTGATGCCCTTATTTACATTTGAAACAGAGTCTGTGGTCTCTACCTACAGAAGGACATGTACCCCGGGCTTGCCTGGCCTTTGCGACTGAGGATCCTCTATGAGATCGCCTTGGGGGTTAACTTCCTTCACAACATGAATCCACCCCTCTTGCATCATGACCTAAAGACACAGAACATACTGTTGGATGGAGAATTCCATGTTAAGGTGGGTCAGCAGGACTTTGGTACAGTATGAACTGTTTGTGTGACAAAAGGAAACAAACATTTGAGCTTAGGTGTCACAGAGTGTGGTTTGTCTGTGTGTGTGTATGTTCAGTAAAGTCCCATGTTAACCCACAGAGACGGTAGGTAGATTCAGTAGGGTAAAAGAATAATCACCAAATTAAACAATGACGATAATTGTCGGCAAAGTGCTGCAGCAAAAGCATGTTGTGCAAAGTGTGTTATAGTAGCTCCCACTATAATAAACAGGACAATTATCTCACAACATGGCTAATGTTCTTAGAGCCTCAATCAGTTGATAGAAAAAGCTGATCCAGTAAAAACAACATTTATCTAGAATTCTAAATGAATGCTAATGTTCTGCTCTCACTCGGCCCAGATTGCTGACTTTGGCCTTTCAAAGTGGCGGCAGCTGTCCGTCAGTAAAGGCTCGGTGTCCAAGCCCACAGAGATGGGGGGCACAGTGATCTACATGCCCCCTGAGAAGTACGAACCATCCAAGAGCCGTCGGGCCGATGTGAAGCACGACGTGTACAGGTGAGACAGCAAAGCTCAATAACTAGTCATTAGAAATTGGTTGGACAATAGACAACAACAAGTACGGTCTCCTTTTAATCCGAGTATGTTTCAGTATCTACAACATGAGTTCCATCTAAATATGTTTTATGTTCAATTGGTCAGTGGTCAAATTATTGGGCTGAATTTTGGATTGGACGAACTCTCGAAGACTTCACTGCACAGTTTATAAACTCTGACAGAGTAAATATGTGTTGAGCTTAAGCATCACAGGGAAGCAAGTTTTTCCTGACTGGCAAGCTGGCATACTGTGCCGGCATGGGGCTGTTGGATTGTTAGCATACCAACAATGAGAAGAGTGCCGCTGTATGTGCCAGGGGCTAAAGCTGTCATTGATGCTGGGAAAGTGGTTTGATTTCAGGAATCTCTCAGAAAGAGGGAGTGGTGACTGTTATAAAAGAAGATGAACCACATGGTTGTATGAGGTACTTATCCACAGTCAGTGTATTAACTACAGTACAGTAGAGGACAGTCTGCACACCTCCAGCCTGGAGAAGCAGACAAAACATATTTTAGCCACCTAAACGAAAGTCCCACCTAAAATAATCAATATCACTTTAAGTGTACACTATATTTATAATATTTCACTGCTTTACCTTACCTATAGACAGCCGTTAATCTGAAGCTTATATCCATCTATGCTCTCTTCAAAACAACCAGACTTCATTGTCAAAAGTAATTTTCCCTTAAAAAAACATGGCGACCTCGATCGGTTAGTTTGTTTGTGATATTGTGAGAGTTTGGTAAATTTGAAGTAACACTTTAAAAAAAAAACCAAAGTGCCCGTCTCTTTCTCCAAACTGGGGGCGTGCAGAACACCGTCTACTGTAGAGTAATACACGATCGTGGATACGTAGCTTAGACAATCCCACTTTGAAGAATCCAAACTCTCGCTTTAATCTTTTGGGCAACGGGTTTCGATTGCTGCAACAGGTCAATTGGTCATTGTTCTTCCTCAAAGCAGCTTCTCTGGTTAGCTTGACGTAAAGTCCCTTAACTCTGAAGGGGAATACCAGTCGAAGAGAATGATGTAACTCTAATTTCCCTTCACTGATTCTCTCCCGCATGTTTACATTGAAGCTATGCCATCATTATGTGGGAAGTGCTGTCCAGGCAGATTCCATTTGAAGGTAACACATTATCTACTTTCTTGTCTTTTTAAAAAAAAAATTTTATCCAAGTTTAATGTAACTCTCTCATTCTGTCCAGTTGCTCTTCGAGTGAACTTTCATGGTGCCACCAGACTAACACTGATCTGTATTTGTGCGATCAGAGGTGACCAACCCAATGCAGATCATGTTCAGTGTGCTTCGTGGGATGCGTCCTGACACGAGTCTGGACATTCTGCCTCCTGACATCCCCAGCAGAGAAACCCTCATCAGTTTAATGACCTGCGGCTGGACCACTAACCCCGATGAACGACCTTCCTTCCTCAGTAAGCTCACACAAATAACCGATTTGCAGAAATTCCTTTCTGGCCGGAGTTAAACATTCCACCCTCTCAAAGCATTGCACTCTGTTGAACCTGTTTTACACTTTGGGATGACAAATTCTGCTTGTCAGTGCAAAGCAGTGACTAAGAATCAGCTTCCTGTCACATTATTCCGCTGTCTTCACTGAATAATTTTCATCGACATTTTTCGTCTCTTGCACAAAACGGACAAATAGACATTCACTACTTACTCACATTCGTTCAGACAATAATCTTTGGCAAGTTCAGGACTAAAACTGAGTGCGTCTTATCTTCTATCTCTCATTCTTTATCACTGACGCACACACTCCAGCTGCAGAGTCACAGCAACACAGTCACATTACATAGTGTGTTTTCCACGTCTTGATTTAACTGTACATTTGTGGTATTGAAACCACAAAACGGAGAACTGAACCTCAGTTGGTACTAAATGTTTTGATGACCATACAGCTTTCTTTCATCTGTTCATAAATGTACCAGTAACAACCAAATGTGCACTAAAATCACCAGTAAACATCGACAAGTTTCTGTCCACACCTGCAGCAAACACAGCTGTGCATGGCCTACGGAGAAAAAACACATAACTGGCAGTGAAACCGGTTCAAATAGTTTTGTCCTGTTGACTAGATATCCTACTGTGAGAACAAAACCGTAGAAATGTGATGTGTGTTTTGTGCCATTTCAGAGTGTCTGATTGAACTTGAGCCCATGGTGAGGACGTTTGACGAAATTGACTTCCTGGAGGCCGTGTTGGAGATCAAGAGGTCAAAAGTTAGTCATCACAGTTATTTTTTTAAGGATACCTTCCACACCTGTAGTTCAGTTCATTTCGTACGTACCAAGGGAAAACATTAGACATGGTTGCATTTTAGATCTGGTCCGGTTCCTGTTTACATTGACTTTCTACAAACGAACCAACAGGAATAAACATGACGATATACGGACTGACGGGGAACTTGTTGATTGGACAGATGATAACAGTCAAAGGTCGTAGCTCAGTGGGTAGAGCGGGTTGTCCTTTAACCACAAGGTTGGTGGCTTGCAGCTGCAGTGCTGACAGAGCAAACTGTTTATCTGAGGGGGAACCGGAGGATGGGTGCTCCGCGTCCACAAAAACGGCCTCGGTTAGCGGACCGAGACCCACCTTTTCAAGAGTCTCGGTTCAATTGTTTGGTCCGTACGAGGCTTTGATTGACAGCTTTCGCATCAGCCCAAATGAACCGTACTAACCGGGGAAATGGACCTGAGTGTGTTCAACCGAACCAACCAGGTTAAGTGTGAACCCGCCTTAAGTGTTTAGAGATGAAATAAAGGGAGAGAGAGTTGGCGAGCGACATGCAACAGAGGTCCGGACTTAGACTCAATCTGGGGACGCTGTCGTTGGCCATTTCTCACAGTTGTGTTTATCTGATCTGATGAACATGTAGAGTGGGCACAGTAAGTGACTTTCCCTCTTTTTAAGATGCCAAACAGAATAGAGGCACCAGCATCATATCGTGGTGCTTAGAAGAACGGGCTTCATACTCCAAAGATTGTCATTTTGAATGTGCAGGAAAGTCTGAGTGCTAAAGTTAATTAGAATTGTTTCACTAATATTTTTTATTAATTCATTAATACAGAAAAAATGGCAAGTACTTGTCACAAGTTACCAGAGCCTGAAAGTGAAGAACAACATCTGTCAATTATTAAGATTTGAATTGATTACCTGAATTGATTACCTGTTGCTAGACTTTGCTATTGAGCCAACTCACTGTTCCAGGAAGCAGTTTTATCTTTATCTCTCCGTTTCACTAAACACCCAACTGTTGCATGGCAATTCAGAGAGCAGCTTCAGAGGAACGTAACTGAACAGTCAACGTCGTAGCTGTGTGTAAGAGAGTGAAGCAGAACTGAAACAAAACACACATTCTCAAAAAAGACCTGTTTCTGTCACATATTAGTGGTTAAGTAATACTTGTCTGGGTGTTCAGAAGAACTTAGTTAGTTACAATCTAATGCTGAATAATTGATGTCTGTAGTGAACCGTCTTTGAATTGTGTGTAATTTGGGACAGTTTGAATTATACTGCGATGAAGAGAGGATGGGTTTTTACAAGAAGAACACACATTTTACTTCATAATTGTATCTTGATATAGCCTTCTTCTTGGTATGTGTTTATGTGTGCACATGACTGAGACCATTGCAACCAGCTTTGACAGCGACGCTGGTATTGTTTGTGTTGTCGTGGCAGAATGTGGTCTACTACAGAACCGGTTTTGAGCACACTACCAAGTGTTTGTATTTCTGTGGATAGATTTTGCCACTGTCATAGCGCCCCAACTGTGCACAAAAAAGTTCAAAACAGTCAAAACTACACAAAAAGTAGTACTTGGTGGCTTTTATATTTTCAGATATGCATTGAGTCTGAACAATGAAAGACAGCAAAACTTCCACCAGGAATTGTGTGCATGAAAACACTTCTGCTCCATTAACTGTTTGACACAGTCTACAGTCACTTATGCTTTTTGGTAAATAAGGTGTCTTATTCGGGTTAATAGCAGATGTGATTAATTTGACTTTGGCATGTTTGATTGAACACAATTGATTGTTTCCTGCTCACTCCCCTCTTCTTTCTTGTTCCTCCACAGAGGATGCAGAGATCCGGCTGTTGTTCAGCCCAGTCAGTGAGTGAGAAGAGGAGTGAGGATGGATCCCTGAACATGCTGAAGGACAGGCCCAGCCCCTGGCCGGTCAGTAGCTGAAATCTCTGTGCAAACATCAAGAACAAGTCTAATAATATACAGCGATACTTGGGGATCTACATATAAGCATTGTCTGTTTTTGGTATTATGTCTTCAAATTCCCAGTGAAATGTGAGTCTTTAGCTTTTATACTGTGACATATTCCCTCGTGAAACAAAATATTTGAGCGGTGTACAGTTACAAGAGGGATTTAAATCCGATCCTTTGCATTTGATTGGATAAGCTACAAAGTGGGTGGCCTTAAGTAGCACCATAGTGCCTGTAGATCCACACACACCTCCCTTGTCTCTAAAAGTTACGGATTGATTGATGGATGGATGTCATGATATTATTGGTTGCATATATTGTTAAATAAGTGCACAATATGACCGTGGATGTGATCTAAAAGGGCATCTTTCATATCTTCTCGACTTTAATGTCTGTATGGAAGTGTGAATTAAGCATCATTGTTTGTTCTGCCACAGGAGAGCTCCGGCTCAGGCTCTTGTTCCTCCCAGGACACAGATATGTCTCTACCATGCGCCCTCAGCAGCAGCAGCAGCAACAGCAACAGCAACAATGCTGCACCAGGTATTTACAACAGGACTGGCATTTTATGCATTGGCCTCATTTACTGGAAACAAAGTAAAAAGCTCACAGTGCCACGCATCAGGTTTTATGTAAATATCTGTGTACTAAACAAGCATCCTCTTCTACTCTTTCTGATGCAGAGGGGCTTCCGTCGTCATTTTTAGCTCCTACACTGGAGCCTCCTGAGTCTCTGAAGGACCCCAGTGGCAACAATCTGAACGGCGACGTGAATGATTTGAACACACCCATCAAGCCAGGCCTGCCTGTCACCGAGTACGAGACACAGCTGGAGAACCTCAAGCTTCAGCCTCAGCAACAAGGTACACCAGTTAAAGCATGATGTATGAAGTGGCTGATAATGATAATACAGTTCTGGAAATTTGAATATTATTTACAACCAGAATCTGAATCACTCCTCTCTCTCTCTCTCCTCACTCGCAGCAAAATACTCTCCTCCATTGCGGCACTCCCCTCCCTCACAAGGCCCAATCGCCCAGTGGATCGCGACGCGCCGCGAGGAGATCGTCTCCCAGATGACGGAGGCCTGTCTGAACCAGTGCTTGGACGCCCTGCTGGCCCAAACCATGCTGATGCGGGAGGATTACGAGCTGGTGGTGACCCAGACCACGCGCACCGCCAAGGTCCGCCAGCTCCTGGACAACTGTCATCGGCGCTGTGAAGACTTCTGCTGCATTGTCGTCCGCAAGCTGCGTGACAACAAGCAAACAGGCCTGAAGCCGTACCCGCCTGAGATTAGCTCCCCGATCCTCTCTTCCTGCGCACCACCGCTGTCCATGTCCTACCATATGCCCAGGAACGTGTAGCAACAGTCACCGCCAAGCGAATGGAAACAATCCAGGTTATAGACTGTGCCAACTTTACACTACACATAACTCTGACTGGTACCGTTTTCGGTGAGATGGTCACCACGGTTCCTGTCAGTCCTGCCCTCAAAGAGGAACTGAAGGCTGGGTGAGCAAAAAGAGTCACAAAACTAAGCTACTCCCTTAGAAGTAAATCTACTCACAAGAGATCAAATGTTTGATTCTGTGCAGTCAGAATCCAACGATTTTGAAGGAATCAGTGATTTTATTTCTCAATGTCAATGAGGTGATTTATTTATCCCTTCATTCTGAGGTGACGTATCGCAGGGTGTCGCTCCTTTAGTACGTTATGCTTTTGTCTCCAAAGCTCAGTTTCCATTAGGTGAAAGTGTGATTATTTATAGAATGCAAACATCCTCAACACACTCGGTTGATCTGAGTAAGTGACGGAAGGACTGTTGTCATGCTGGAAAACCTCCAGCCTAAATAAGGTTTATTCCTATTAAAGCAATCCTAATCTTAAAGTATCCTGTAGTCATTGGTGAACTATGTTTAGCCTCTGAGTGAAGTCAGTGAGTATGTGGCCCTCAGTGTGTTTGTATTGAAGCACATGGTCTACATTCAATCGGTAAGAAATGCATTGTCAAGTACAAGGACGACATCGGAGCCAGTGACAGCTAGCTATGTGGTTTGGGACGTTAACAGCTTTACATAACTGAAGTGTTGAAATGAGCCATGAGTTTGGTCACTGTGGCCGTTTGACCGTATGGAACATTTTGTCCCTGCCTTTTTTCTCCCCCTCTTTTTTCTTTAAGTTATTCGCTGAGTCGCGGAGTAAAAAGGAAGTTAAGATTGTAATACAACACTCAGAATGAGGGATGTGTGTGTCTGCATGTCCGTCTAGATTAAAAGTGGACCAATGTGATCTGATTTATTTTGGTTTTCTCAGTAGTGGCCTCACCTCTCAGTATTCTTAATGTTCACTTTAGGCTCATCTGGACACAGTTCAAGTTTAACCATGAGCTTCACATGTGTTGATGCTGCTGAGCTGCTCTGCAGAAGAACTGCAACAAATGAACAGAGAAGATCAAACCTGCTTTTCTTGTCTCAACCTTTACTGCAGGGGTGGACCAAACTCTTTTGATTGCCACAGATAGTTTTCAACCAGTTATAATGCAAGAAAGTCAGTGTTTCTATACCAGGAAACCCCGTGTGCCATAGCAAATACATGTGTCAAAATAACCAACAGAACAAACTGTTTATGTTTGACATTACAGTAGTTTATTTCTGTTCCCACAATAAAAAAAAAAGCATTTCTGCTCCTGAATTTAATTTCAATTCAATCAATACTTTTAAATACAGTGCATTGCCTAAGTGCCCACATACTTATTATGATATGTGTAAATCTGTATATAAATAAAGTTGAAACAGCCAAATATTGGTTTCTGTTCGTGGCCCGAGTGCCCACTTCAAAGATTACAATGCAACTGTAAAAGTAAGATGTAACAAACGGAGCAGACAGAGATGGTAGAATAATGGTTTCTGTGCCCAGAGGTTAAGACTAGGATGTGCACTTTATTAGAAATATGCTCAAGTCATATTCCAGTTTGTTTTTAAAACATCACCACAGCCCACTTCTAAAGTTGGTTTAGTAGTTTGGCCACCCCGGCTGTAGTTTACCTGCTGAGCAGTCTGTGCAGTCACTGCTCAGTTCATCACTCTGGACTCAACTTTCTCTACAGTAGCTGTGCTTCCCCATCTGATCAAAACGATAGTAACACCTGTTACTTATATACAATTATCTCTCTTTTTCTTTTTAAATGCAAGAAAATACACACATTTATATCAAGGCAGTAGTTTGTATATATACATAATGCTGAGTAAGAGTTTTGTCTTTACTTCACTCGCTCGCACACACAGTATATATGTTCTTTGTGCCAGAAAGAAACAAGTTATTTCTGTTTCCATGACACAGTTTGAACCTTCAGTCTTCCTAATCACCATGTTTATGTATGTGTATTTAATACGACTATACCATTTACTATTAATTCATTTAACAATTATTTTCTCGATAATCGTTTGGTCTATAAAATGGTAAAAAGTTATGTTTATAGTTTTCCAAAGCCCAATATCTTCAGATTTTCCCTTCATACAAATGTTTCTTGTAGTGTGCATATATGCCTCTCATTACGGGCCTTACTGTCTTCATCACTGCCTTCACTTATCCCTTAACTCCAAACGTTATCATAGTTGACGGTGGTGTAGCTGTGTCCTTTACTGTCTGTATATCCTCCAGTTCAACAGAGAGCGACCTCTTTGTGGTTCCCCATCAGTCGGTCCATAGACAGTTGAAGTTCCATAAAGAACTTAAATAACACGGTGGGAAATGAGCTACGGCAGGTTATTCTTATTAAGAAACCGCGTTACAAGAAATCGCACACAATTGTATATCATTTAAAAAACAGGAAGGCCAAGCCAGGCCGACACGTTTCCATCGCGGTGGGCCTTGTGTTCGATAACTGTGCCTCATATTCTGCTTTTGGCAACGTGTAAAAGCCTTTCACACATATCAAGAAACGCTGAGTAGAAATACTACAAATTTGATATCTTAAAATGTAACATATTTTGTACTGTCGAGGATAGTTTCATCTCTTTTCTATATATTTTCATTTGTGATCACTTGTTTAAAACTCATGCATTTATTATTACCGTGTGTGTGTGTGTGTGTGTGTGTGTATATATATATATATACGTGTATATATGTGTATATACTGTGTATATATATGTGTATGTATGTATAATTTAGGGCCCATGTCATTATCAGATCAAACGAGTATGATGTGTTACAGAATGTGCAGTTGATCTGTAGCTGTGGTTTCAAACTAGGATTTTTCATATTGTATCAAACTCTTCATTAAAATGAATACTCTGTTTTTACTTCTGCTTGCTGTCTTATTTTTTATTTTATTTTTTTATGTAACATTAATTCAATGGGAAAGTTTACTCTATTTTTACAGTTGGCTCATATAATGTTCCCGTCTATATAGAGCTGCTATAAGGATACCAAGAACCAAGAGGGTTTACGTATAGCCATAGATTACTGACGTCCAGGTTGATGCACCTGCTAAATGTCACTGAAAGAGAAGCATGATGACCAAAATGCAACCTCAAAAAGGCCGCTATCTGTTGTAAAAATGACAACAAAAGGCACATAATTACCGTTCGTGTCTATTTTAGTTTTGGTGTCTTACTTCTATATACATGGAGGAGGGGTGGGGGGATTTTACATGTGTGTATGGATATATATCTCTGTCTCTACCTATAGTTTTTGACCCCATACCTTTCAGTTTGAACCCATGTTGTGTGTTTTTGTCCCCTTTGTTTTGTTGGTCATCTTGCTTCGTATAATCTCTTCAGGCTGTTTATGTGTCCCTGTACTTGTCTACACTTTCTGGAATCACTTATTGCGCAATATAAAAAGAAAAGCAGCTGTCGAGACAGTCAGTGCATTAGTTATTCTTTAATGACAGATCATTTTATCGCAATATGTTCTGTATTATACAATCTACTGTCTGTACCCGGTGTGTTGATCCAGAAACAGCTTGGCTACCTCCGTCCTATAGCTGCCAGGGGCCAGTGACAAGGTCTGCTTCTCTCTGAAAATAGCACAGGAGGGAACATGTGGGTGCAGTTCATTTGGTGCTGGAAAAACACCTGTTGTGGTTGTGCTGGGCTGCAGGGATTACAACATCGACCGTCCTGTTGCTGCCTCTCGGATGTTATCTCACCAATGTCTCACTGCCTGGTCAGAGGAGCAGCACTGGTCTGAGGAGACTCCACACGTAACACACCTGTTGATCTTCTATGAATAAGGAAACAAAGTAAGCTCACTTTTTGTCCTTTTTACATATTGGCCGTTTGTGTCCTAATTTACAACCTTAAGTATGTTTTGTTCCTGTCTAAAGAGCGGACTATGGGCAAAAATGTTTGTGTGTGAAAGATCATTACTGGGAGATTTGGCACCATGACCTCTTTTTGTATAGTGGACATATTCAGGCTTGAGAAGTGTAGTTGGACATTATTAAAATCGTGTAATATTTATATGGAAGAACAGTTTGTTTTGTCTGTCAAACTGGAATAATCTCCTTTAAATTCCATCTTCACACCAGCACTGGAGTAATGGAGGATCTGAGGCAGAAGATGGGAGTCATGTCACAGACAATATGCCCAAATTCACGGACTCCATCTGATGGGAACTTAAAGGCCCAGAATTATGGGAAAGAAGAGAAAATGCAGTTGAGGAGGGAAATCTCCCTTATGAATGGGATCTGCCTGATTGTCGGGAACATGATTGGCTCTGGGATCTTCGTCTCACCGAAGGGTGTACTCATGCACAGTCGCTCTTACGGGCTGTCTTTGCTGATTTGGGCTACGGGAGGCATCTTCTCAGTGTTTGGGGCGTTGTGCTACGCGGAGCTCGGCACCACCATCCCCAAGTCTGGAGCCAGCTACGCCTACATCCTGGAGTCGTTCGGAGGCTTCCTTGCTTTTATCCGTCTGTGGACGTCCATCCTGCTGATTGAGCCGGCCAGCCAGGCTGTGATTTCCTTGACCTTCGCCAACTACCTGGTGGAGGCTTTCTACCCCACCTGCCAGCCGCCATACGACGCTATCCGGCTTATCGCTGCAGCCTGCCTCTGTAAGAAACACTCCTGTGTAGGTCTACAGTTCATCATCCAGAAAGAGATTGCAAGGAAACATAAAAGTCTGTGCAAAATACAGGGAGGAAAAACTCCCAGTACTGCCTTCCAGTGTTTGATATCACACTGTGATACCCACTTTGGCCTCACCCTAGTTCCCGACTTCAACACAATATATATGTCAGTTTAGATAATATTATCAAGTTTTAAACAGCTTTCGTTTTTACCCATGACATGAGCAGAAACAAGTGGTGCAATGGTATTATACCCACATTCATCCCAGTATGAAACTCAGTAACCCTGTGTGGAACTGTCACCAGCTATAGTTAGACTCTGGACCAGTGTGGTTTACAGCCTGGCTTTGTGCTGTGAAGAGCGTAGTAAGCAGAAGTGCCATTTTAGGTGAGAGAGCAGCAATGCCACAAGCCAAATAAGAAGTGAGTTTCTGTTGTACCCTCATACAGACTTTGGCCTACGTCACACACAGGAGATGTTCAGCAATCTCTGGCACACGGCTAAGCGATAGCATGCTTCTATTAGCTATATAGCTTTTGACATTCAAGTTGACACAGTTCGAGTTTCACAAACAGACAAACATGGTTGACCATTGTTTCCTGAATGATTCATCTTTGAAAATGCAACCTAACAAGAAAGCAGAAGTTGTACCCAGAGCTGTATTAGGCCTTGTTTGTATAAATGAACTTCTCAATCATGGAGATAAATGTTCATTTATTGCCGTATTCCTCTGGTTTGTCCAGGTATGCTCATCTTCATTAACTGTGCCTGTGTGAAGTGGGGGACACTGGTCCAGGACATTTTCACTTTCGCCAAACTCATGTCGCTCTTCCTCATCATCATTGTAGGACTAGTGAAAATAGCAACTGGTAAGATTACGTTGGAATAAAAATGCATCGGTGGAAACAAGATAAATATGTGCTTTACACTTTGATTTATCTTGATGTAGGAGAAACAAAGAGCTTTGACAGTCCGTTTGAAGGCTCCTCCACAGATCCCGGAGCCATTGCTTTGGCCCTCTACTCAGCTCTGTTCTCCTACTCCGGCTGGGATACGCTCAACTTTGTCACTGAGGAGATTAAGAATCCAGAGAGGTACACACATGTACAAACACAAGCATACGAAGAGACACACGGAAATGTACAAACGTTTGAACCTTAGACTTGAAGTCTCTGACTAGGTTGAGTAGGGTAATACAAGTGGTGAAAACGAGCCAGTGGGAATAATACTAAAAACTATTGGATAAATTAGAACTGAATGTTTTTTGATGTTACCCAGTCAGACATTTGTTTGCTTTATTTAAAGCTGGTACAATCAATATTTACGTATTTACAGTGGTTATAATATGTGAAAAGCATTGCTCGTAGTGATGATTATCTTGACTCTACTGTTACTCTTATCTCTACGGAGGATTTTTCACTTTAATATTTTGGCTTTCCTGCCCGCAACTGTATTGTTTTGGTTCAGTCTCACTACTCTCATCATCCTTGTTTCCAGACACAGAAAGCAGCGAAAAAAGCTCTTAAAAAACCCAACACTAAACGTGTTCCTGCCCAACACTAAACGTTAGATAGACAAATGTAGCAGCTAGCTGGTGAACTTAGAGGAGCATTTAGCATCTTAAGCGGTATTTCCCCTTTAGGAGTTGGTGGAGACTAAACACAGAGCTAATAAAGAGTAAATAATTGACTTTAAGTTGTCATTTGTTGCACAAACAGGACTAAATCAATGCTAATGTTGCTCGATAGCATGCTGGACGTGCAACTGTACTGTCAGATGATATATCAGTTTTGTGTTTACAGCTTATTTCTGCTGCCTCCAAGTGGCCAAAATATTACTTATTGCAGCTCAACGCTGTCTTTTCAGATTACTTTAATGAGACATTTTGTACAGAGCCAGATGTAGTTCTCCAGTATATTGGACGCTCATCCGTTTTCATTTTTTAGGTGAATTTGAGCTGGGATCACATTGTAATCAATGGACATCCTAGTTACCTGTAAAATCTTTAACTGAACAAAGGAAAATGGGCTGCAGAGGTTGAAATTGCAACTTGAGTAAAACAATGTCTCTACATGAATCCTCTGCAATCTGTTTACTGCAGCTTTGCAGTGAGTCACAAAACGCTCTCTGTGTGTTGTTTCTAGGAATCTTCCCCTGGCCATTGCCATTTCCATGCCCATCGTGACCATCATCTACCTGCTGACCAACGTGGCCTACTATGTGGTTTTGGACATGACGTCTCTGCTGGCCAGTGATGCAGTTGCTGTGGTAAGATACAGACTGTATCCTGAGAGAGATTATTCACTCTGCTGGTAAATATAGTCCTGAAATTGTTGACCCAGGATCGTTTTGCACTCTGACTTGAATGAACTTCAATTTGGCCCCACAGACATTTGGAAATGCAGCCCTCGGGCCGTTCAAGTGGATCATCCCTGTTTCAGTGGCCATGTCCTGCTACGGAGGACTCAATGCTTCTATCATTGCTGCCTCACGGTAATCAGGAAGTGCTGAACAGGCGCCGACTTTGGGCTCCCATCGTGACGAGTGTTTTGCCAGTAACTTTCCATCTTTGTTGATGATGCAGGTTGTTTTTTGTCGGCGCCAGAGAGGGCCACCTCCCCAACAGTCTGAGTCTGATTCACCTGCAGCGCTACACACCCATACCTGCACTGCTGTTCAATGTGAGAACCATTTATCTTATTTGCATATATTCCTCTACTGCATACACGTACATGTCACTTCAAAGGACAAATGGACTGGAACATGAATATATTCATTTGTGCTCTGCAGGGGTTAATGGGTCTGATCTTCCTGTGTGTAGAGGACGTGTTCCAGCTCATCAACTACTTCAGCTTCAGTTACTGGCTCTACGTGGGTCTGTCTGTGGCCGGCCTCATCTACCTGCGCATCACTCAGCCAGACAGACACAGGCCTGTGAAGGTGCTGCTTTATTCATTGTTCAAATCATGCAGCATGAAAATAAATGGATATGGTGCATAGTGTATGTGTCTACTGTACATACACAATGCTACAGGTCCTGTGTAATAGTATTTTAATTATAGTTATGGTCTGAAGTGATCATTTCTGTAATAATTTCATTTTGAACCCTATATTTATCACTTGTTTATGCATCTGCAGTTACATTTGGATTCAAGACAAACATTTTGCAGTGAAATACAATGCGGCATACTCTTCAGGCTGTGCAAAAAGGAATAATAATTATAACAAGAGTTAAACAAGAATAGAAAAAGAAATATAATATTTGCAGTATAAGTATTAAGACATTAACGTGTCTATTCACCATCCTGAGTGGCTAAAGCTGTTTCTTTATCCTCTTCAGCTGACTTAGCTTGTTACAGTCCAAAACTAAATGAACAAAGAAATATGACTGTAGTGACTGATTCCAGCAACTAGCCACTCGGCTGGGTGCGGGAGAAGATCCTGTTCTTTACTCGCTACAACAAAGCGAGTAAAGAACAGGCGTTTCACACTTTTGGGTGAGGTTCCCATTTAATTAGTGTTCACAGATGATATACAACAGGATAGCACTTAGAAGAAACCATTTTTATTGTCATATACACATACACGAAATTTGCCTTCTGCATTTGACCCATCCCTGTATATAGGGAGCAGTGGGCTGCCAATGACAGGCGCCCGGGGAGCCGGGGGTTCAGTGTCTTGCTCTGGGACACTACGACATGTGACACGACACGTGACACGTCGAACAGTTGACCCTGCGGTTACCAGACAACCCTCTTAACCCAGTGAGCCACGGTCGTCCCTTATCCCTTATCTTCCTGGTCTCCCTCCGGTGTGTCTGGCTTGCGGTAAAAACCGTGCGATCTCCCCGTCACCCATGCCTCATTACCTGTCAGTCGCACCTGTGCCCCATATATTAATTACCTGCCACAATACTCCACACTGCCACCCGTGGTCAACCTGAGATAGGCTCCTAATTCAAACATATAATACAAAGACATAACTAATGGCTCCGACAATGACTAAGTCACTCTTATAAACACAATCTGAAGCACTGATAGTTTCCATAGTTTACGTATTGGCTTGAATCTTCACTCTGCATGTAGATACTCAGATATCAGTTTACAAACTAACCCGAGCTGTGTCTTTTTCTCCCCACAGTTGTCTTTGTTCTTCCCCATCATCTACTGTCTGTGTAGCCTGTTCTTAGTCATCGTTCCTCTGTACGGAGACACCATCAATTCTCTCATAGGAATTGGCATTGCACTGTCTGGGGTGCCCGTCTACTATGTGGCCATTTACCTGCCTGATGAGAGGAGGCCCAAATTCATACGCAAGTTAAACGGTAAGCTCAAATGTCCGTGTGCAGAAAATGTAATATTTGTGCAGCAGAATGTGTGTTTTTGTTTGAGCTGTGTTCAAACATGTGAAGAGGAGGTGACAAAAAGAAAACATTTCCTGTACATGAGGCATGAGAGTATTAATCACCAGCATACACCATTCACCCAGTTTGTCAAACATGTGTCACATGATTTGATATCACTATACAAAATACAGCATTAATCATCTTGTATTATGAGAGTCAGCTGTTAGCAACCTTTCCACTTCCACGTCCTCCTTCCTCTCACCTCTTTTCCTCCTCCAGACTTTACCACCAGATCTGCCCAGATGCTGTTCTACTGCTGTTTGACTGAATTTGACACTGAGACAGAAGCACAACCAGGCGGTAAAACGCAGTGAGCTGCAGACAACCCATCGCTCACTGGCCAGCTTTCTGCCCAGAGGCCTCCGTCCTTGTCCGTGTGTCAACATTCATTCCTCCCACGAATGCACAAAGGCAAGGCCTTGCATGGACGGAGTGACGTGGCGCAGGCTCAAAACTTTTGTGAGGATTACTTCTTCCAGGTCAAGTTTTAAAAAATGCCTGACATCTCAAATGACTCACCACGAAGGAGCAGGCACTTGAGAAACTGCAAACTGTTGCTTTCTTTTCTACAGAGATCAAGGAATATCTTCTATGAGGATTAAATATGTCCAGATATATTTTTAGAGTTTGTATGTGTATAACTGTGCAAATGTAAACACTATAAAATTGTCAATTACAACCAATATTCTGGGATTGGTTCCTGAGCAGCTTAACTGTTAAACAGTTTAAGTTAAGTCATTTCTTTAAGGGTTATTAATCTCTCAATGTTATCTTTCATAAATACAACTTCAGGATAACAGTGTATTTCAGTCAAAAATGTATTTTTACCAATTTAATGAAGCTTTTCACCAAACAACGCATGACCTAAATACCTTACACTGTATTATCTGACTGATCTTTGGTACGTGCTACGTTTGCACCACGTTATTTCAGAGCATGTTTATGGAAGAAAAAACACTCCTGCAACTGGGTGATCGCTCACTCACAAACTCACTCATTCGCCATCAGCAGGCTTCAGCCTCTCCACAACGGGGAGCTGTTTCGTTATCCGACGGGAGAGAAAAGTAGGACTGTCCTCGACCAAAGAAATACTTAGTTGAACACTACAATTTTGTCAACTAATCGATTAATTGATTTAATCAACATATCTGTAAAACTGAGTTTCTCCAGAACAAAGTCACACAAAAGCACCCTTTTGTTTTGGAAATAAATCATTCAGCATGAAAAAACAGTCGCCCCTTGAATGTATCTGTTTATATTTCTGTTTCTCCATCATATTGCCTTGTGAATAAACTGCATATGTTTTAATGCATCCTATTATTTAATTATTTTAAGTATCATCTTCTAAAAGTCACTGTTCACATTCACAAAAAAATTGTAATTTCTTTTCAGCTTTACAATAAATATATATGAATCGTTAGTCAACCAGATTGGAAGAAAAATAAAAAATGAGATGTCATGATGAAACCTTACTGTCAAATTGACTGGTAGACCTCATACACACTCACGAGCCGGTGGAGCTTAAATACACAATGAACTCAATCACATATCACACATATCACACGTTCATCTTATTATTGGGTTGCACGTCGTTTCCAACAGAAGCTCACAAAAAGCTGTATTTTTGTTCTGATTCAATTAATTTATTGTAAAATCATCATTCATAAAATATTTTAAACACTGTTCAGGAGCATCAGCTGTTCAAACATCCTGCAGTTTCATATCTTTTAGATTGTTAACATATGTCTGAATGAGGCCCATATGAATACAACAGAGAGATGAATTCACTGTTAGGAACCAGATTTCTCTGAAGCCTTATTATTCCACACATGAAGTGACATTAGGAGATCTCTGCCTAAAGTAAGGTGCAGTTGGCGGAATCGAACCCGGGACAGATCCACTTATTGCTGAACTGTTTGTATCCCTCAGCACTGATCAGGTCACTTCCTGACCGGAGGAGAGCACACAGGTATTCATTATCATGGTTTCTTTTGGGGTAAAAACATTGCCATAGTTTAATGAATGAACAATCTCATGGTGTCAGATTAAATATTTACCGTCCATCAGGTTCTGGAGGCTGCAGTAGTTTGTGCTGTTATCAGCTGGATCTTTGGAGAACTCAGATACTGCCTCTCCCTGCACATCAGAAACATCAGGAAGGAAACGGTATGTCAAAGAGGAACGTCAGTGACTGAAGCTGATTAACTTCTGAACGCTTTTGAACTTAATTTTCTTTTCAGTAGCTTTAAAGTCAGAAAAATAAAATCTCCCCTCACTGTGTCACATTTTTTTCTATTTCATGTGATTATTATAAAGTCCATGCTGCAGCTGTTAATGTTCACAGAGCAGATGTTGCATCCTGTGACCAAGCAGAGATGGATAATGCTTTATGATGGTGTTTGGGTTGCATGAAACCTACAGGGCTAAAGGGTCGAATGCATGTTAGACAAGGTGCTGGTGAATTCAAAGCCTCATTTCTCACATGTTATCTTGGATATGGGGAGAACACAGGACTCACAAGACACACATTAGTCATGTTTGGGCAGAGAAATAGAAAGCTTTGATGATCAACAGTATCTAAAGTTGATCATTTATTGATTTTTCTGATGTTTTGAACGATACATGAGCCTTTAAGTTATGCCAGTAATAAACATAACGCTCACTGCTCTGCTCTGCAGGTTGTTTGGCATCTCGTGCGAAGATGTCACTGGAAAGATGGTGAGCCAGATTAAAGCCTGGCAGATCGGACAAAGCTGCCTCTATGCAGGAGAGACCTCCGATATCTCATGTCTGACTCATGTATTGTTGAAGTATAATACATACATTATTTTTGTGAAAATAATCCACATCCAGCATCGACTTGTGACCGAGTAAATAGAGACAGATAATGGTTTATGTTGGTGTTTCAAGATGTCATCATACTTGCTCTAAGTTAAATTTCCAAACATGTTAATACTTGCGCCATTTGATCAAAACCTGTAGGATGATTACATCTGGTATTCACTTGAATTAATCAATCAAGTCCTGTGGTCTCGAACAAAGCTTTTCCAGCACAGCTGAAATGAAGTAGCTTTTAATTAAAGACACAGTTTAGGTTTTGTATGTCCGTCTGTTTACTCATTCAGAAGATTTAAAAAAAAAAAAAAAAAAAAGCACTTACAGTAACTTTGCAGACGGTGGACTGCTCTAGAAGAAACTGGAGGTCGTTGACTTTTTTGGTTGCCGGAGACGTGTGCGTGGCTTTGATCAGGTAAGGAGCTGTCGACACAAGCTGCAGAGCAAATTCAGTCAAGTCAATCATTATCTCAACATCAATCAGCTGGCTTCCTGCATCTGATTCTCATTTAAATTATTGCTGGAAATGTGGATTATTTTCACAAAAAAGATTTTATGTATTACACTTTAACAATAAATGAGTTGACTGAGATGTTTCCAACCTCGTACGAGCACCTCTCCCCTGCATAGAGACAGCTTTGCCCGATCTGCCAGGCTTTAATCTGGCTCACCATCTTTCCAGTGACATCTTCGCACGAGATGCCAAACGACCTGCAGAGCAGAGCAGTGAGCGTTATGTTTACTACTGGCATAACTTAAAGGCTCATGTATCGTTCAAAACATCAGAAAAATCATTGGAGATCAACTTAAGATACTGTTGATCATCAAAGCTTTCTATTTCTCTGCCCAAACATGACTAATGAGTGTCTTGTGCGTCCTGTGTTCTCCCCATATCCAAGATAACATGTGAGAAATGAGGCTTTGAATTCACCAGCACCTTGTCTAACATGCATTCGACCCTTTAGCCCTGTAGGTTTCATGCAACCGAAACACCATCATAAAGCATTATCCATCTCTGCTTGGTCACAGGATGCAACATCTGCTCTGTGAACATTAACAGCTGCAGCATGGACTTTAATAATCACATGAAATAGAAAATAAATACAGAAAATGAACATTAAGTTTCCCCAAAGGCACCCACAGAACACTCACACACAGTTTGATTGAACACAGGCTAAGCAAATCTATAAATGCTAAGAAATGAACATTACCATTTGATTTTGCACTGTGAGGTTCTGTCAGCCAGTGAGATGGTGAGTGTGGCCCCGAGGAGCAGAGCTGAAGCGACTAACAGGAATCTCAGGTCCATACTGAAGGCAGGTGGATCGGGGTCTGAATCCAGCGTGTGGTCAAGTGTGTGTGGACGTCTTCTGGATGTGTCTCCTCGCTCTGCCCAGAGGGCTTTAAAGACCAGCTCACGGGTCATGTGGAAAACTGGAAGAGAGGACAGCACAACATTGATTAACATGCACCACAGCATGGGAGAGAAAGAGAGTGGAGGAAACCGAAGATATAAGTATTGCCGAGTTAACACGGGGAAAGTTATTTTCACAACAATTAGCCTATTTTATTGTGTGTAACCATTTAAAATACGTCTGTAAAAACATTTTACATCGATTTCACAGCTTCTGCAGCCATTGCTTGGAATTGGGGATGGTTTGAAGTTGCAGAGAAGTGGATCTTGATCACAATACCTCCAGTGTGCAGACAGTGTTAGTATTATTTGCACGTGCAGTTTTTGAGATATTTGTCTATATATAAGGAATGGAAATTGGATAGTTATGTTTGTGGTGCTCAACATTGACAGATTACATCAAAACAGCATGCTTCGCCACGTTCACCAGCTTGACGCTAACTTTGTCTGCTGTTTGGTGCTGAGCAGGTGATGTGCAGTGTTTTCCTTCTTCTTCTTTTTACTGAAAACAGCAGTCTGCTGTGGCCAAGCATTACAAGAGGGCAGTGAGAGTGAACCAAAACAGTGAGCTGAAAGAAGATTCAAAACCAAGTTTTTAGGGGCTGAAATCTTAAAGAAGCTTTGACAAAGACTTTAAACCACCGCCTCACTAACAATGACCAAGATTCATATCAACTACATGTCTTAACTCAAGCACTGGAACAGAGTTGTGTAATCAGTGACCAGAAGAATGTAACCAGAAATAGAAAAAGAAAGTCTTCAGCAGGAGCATGAGGACACAACCTCTCCCTTTCCATTTATGTTCATGCAAATAAACTCAATTTCCAGACTTTGCATGTTCTTGATAACATAACAGACTTCAGATGGACTGAGGAGCAGCAGTGTAATAAAACCTATAGGAGGCTTCTGTGGTACGGGAGGAGTCTGATAAAATAATCGTTATGTGTGTTTAGGGCCTAAAACATGCGAGCATGGAGTTTGAAAAAAGTCTATATTGGTCCCTAAGTGTGTAGAACAGTGTTATTAATTTCTCATCATCTTATGATAGAGTGCTGCAGCAATGAGTTATTATTTTTGCACTTCCAGTTCTCTTGTCTGGAAGATAATGGGTTTTTTAAAGAGTTTTTGGTATGATGCCTGAAATCAGGTCTGTGGTTAACACAAGCTTAAGAGATTGTAAAGTTTTGCTTTACGATAGAATGCGTCAGTAAATACCGCTCTTAGGAGTGTTGAGGCTTTTACGTGTCCTTAAAAAAGCAGTCGCTAACAAGGGGCTAAATGAGACTACAAGACGTCATAACACCAACGCGACCAGTGTAGGTCATTAGCATAACAACAGCTTTTTAGATCCCATTCACACTTCAAGTATCATAATGGTTAATTTGTGAACATTATCTTGCTGATCAAAGCATGTACGTATAATAAATTTGTGTTTGCCACAGAGTTTATTTTCTGCAATAATCAGGAGATTATTTGTTCTCACACTGATTACAATCATTGCTATTTTGAGAGCATGACATGGAAACTGCTGAGCACACACAGCGTTTGTCATGGAGCATGACACACCAACATGACTGTGCCCACAGAAAAGATTCCTTTGTATCCTCTTGACATGACATTTCATTTCTGAGAGGCAGAAAATATCAAAAACTCTGTATTTGCTATTGGGTGGTTAAAAAACAGTAGGCTTATAATGTGAGAAGGATGTGGATGAGGGGCTGTGTCAGAGGAGGGCCATCCCAAAGCTCTCATCTTCAGCCTGTTTCGCTCTCTACAGGCTGAAAGTGGAACTGCAGCAAAACATTATCAACTTAACGTTCACTTGAAATTCCCTCTTAATTCTTTACTTTTTTATAATTACCATGTTGATAATTATGTTCATGTAACTGTCTTTGTAGGCTTTTAAATCTTAACATTATAATTTTTACTGAAATGTTTTAAATTCAAACATGCTATTCCTATGATCTAAGACAATCCACAAATAATAGTAAACATGAACAACTCTCAACACACATTGATTGGACTCTCCTAGGCTGGAGAAATAACATGTTGAAATGAATAACTTTCGCTTGAAGCAACACACACAAACACACAGTCTTCTTTTCTTATCACACAAGTTTGATGTTTCAGTGCACTTCTCATCTGTAACATTTTTTTGTTTTTTTTAACTCCTTGAACCCCTTGACCGGTGACTTTTGTTAGCAGGCTTTGACCTGCAGCGCTTGTTTGGCGACTGTGGTCCCGCCTGGTAAGCTACCGTGGTGTCAATGTGGTACATTTCCTGATCCTGAATCCAAACTATCTAACTATTTGGATTTTGATGAGTGAAAGTGGCTTTTCAGTACAATCGACAGTGCAATACATGTGACGTTCATTTGCTTTGACATGGTTGATGGTTTAGGCGTACTGGGCTGGAAGCCATTCATTCTTAAAGTCAATTATGTTCTGCCAGTTAAACAGGTTAGTTTCTCACTAATGACAACCTCGACCAATTGTGCGTAATGGCAGTGTTGAATGAAACACGACAGTGCGTCATTTTCCGAGCATCTTTGTACATGAACACGAACATTGTTGTTGTGTTGTTTTCCTGACACTGAATGTGAGCAGATGTAGATCCAGAGTTATTGACACTCAAGAAATTAAAAGACACAGACAAAGCTTTGACATAACACATGAATTTCTATGTATTTCTGGTTGACTGCAAAGTATTAGGTTTATATTTGCAATTCATATTGTCTAAGATGGTCACGAAACAGTTGAATGTGTACAGTTTTAAAACTGGTCAAGATATCTTTATATTTTTGCATTCTTTACAGAACAATATTGCATGTATGGATGCATAAACTGTGTGTCATTTGAATTATACAGCAAAACTAGCACATTGCTCATAACACAGCTCTCAGTATACGCTCATGTTTAAGTTGTAGTCATTTTAATTATTGGAGCTTGGAAAGCAGCAGCTCCCTCCATTACGTCGCGGTGGGGTTTAGGGCATTTTCAGTATTATTAAAAACATCTTGATTCAACTTCTGATACTTTGAACTTGACAACATTCAGCATTATCCATTTGTAAGTACCCCTCTTTAATGAATCAAAGCAAATGCAGTACATTTTACAACTAATCAGGCTTTACTCAATTTAATTTTGTCAACAACTAAACATTAACTAAGACTGACATTTTTGTGGTGGTACGCCTGCTTGAGGGGCATTCCCAAAAATGTAAATGAAATTAGAAACATATCACAAACCACTGAGGCTTCTCCTTATCCAGTGTTAAAGAGAAAACATTTTTTCAAGCCAAGCCAAACATACAGACACTAGTGTGTTGAGGTTTCAGACTTTGGTGATTTTCTTCACTTTTATTATAAATTCCGCTTCAGGTTGGAGATAATGGACCAAGGCCGTGACCTAAAAGACACAAATGATTTTTTAATTCATCATATCCAGGTCAGTGTCCACCGTTCAGTCAATAACTACAGAGCGTTATCGGATTGTGCTCTACACAGATTATGTCAGATAGCACTATCAATAATGACTCGTATTAATATTATAGAAATAAAAGACAGAATTGGACATGAATGTCTATTTGTGAAGACAGTGAACAAGGTTATAGTGAGTTTACCTGTTCCAGGACTGGAGCTATTGTTGTTTCATTTAGCTCACGGGTGGACTTGACAGCTGCCTCAAGGATGGCCACAACTGGTCATACAAAAGGAAATGCATTAAAATCATGTCAGACATCAAGTTGAATCATATTGTGCGAGCCTAAAATGCACTTACCGTTTGAAGTAAATAAAGACTTGTTGGTGAAGTCGCCCAAGGGCCTACCTATCTCCAGAGCAAAGGAAGGGGATACTGCGGAAACATTAAAGCGAGCGGGTACTGCGGAAACATTAAAAGAAATTAGGCCCTATTTCAAATCTAGACAGTTGAACTACTTCCTACAACTTTTAGCTGAATAAATGTACTCGCAGTATACACATTTAATCCAATAATTCCAACTACTCACTTATTTGTGCGGCACATGAGGCCCAGCAAAAAGAATCAGCAGCAGCATGTTGAAGCTTGATTCCAAAAAAACGTGTAAAATCTGTAGTGTAAATAGTGTTCCCTGTACTGTTCCCCAGAGTATTTGGCTACTTTCTTTCTGTACCAGGAAGGGTAATCCTTATGCAGAGGGGTGTGGCATTAGACAACAATAGCTCAGTTTCTCGACAAAGGGCTTGGCATCTCAAGGAGGTAACGAAAACACATACGGTTCAATGAAACCTGAGAAGGAGGTTAAGCCTGTAGAGCGAGCAAATTCTTCTAAAATTGTGATTTGCTTCATAAGCACGGTGTTTTTTTACTGCTTCTTCCAGAAAGCAGAATCATTTCAGACCCTGTGAATTATCCAAAGAAAAGGTTAAGAGTGGGATTTTTGCTATAAAATAATGTTTTGATTTAACTTAAAACACCTAAAAGCAAGTTGTGGCAGCACATTTTGATGTGCGCAAACAATAGCTCTAAGGTTTCTCTGCTACGTTTTATTAAGATGTCTTTGAGTCAGTTATGTTTTGAGACAAAAAAAAAACTTCAAAAATTGGTAAAAAAATGACAAAGATCATGTTTCTTATTTTTAATTAAAGGATTTTAGTCAAACTAACATCTGTTAATATACATATCGTGGGCACATCTGGCCTTTTTTGTGATAGTCAAGTCTTCCTTTAAAATAATGACAATGAACGTGAAATACAAACAACAATAATGCTAAAATGAACAACAATGTACTTTTTTATGCATTCAAATACATTATGACACCACACATCCTGAACAACTTTGAAACACATTACAGAATTAGACATCACATCTCATCATCTCATCTGTGCAACTAGAACTGACTAGAAGTAACTGTAATCCTCGTTCTCTTGTTCTTTATTCACAACAGTGAAACAGGTTTGGTAATAATCACTATGGGTTCTTTAACCTGCTGCTGCTGCTGCTACTTGCAGAGCTGGAAATTCTGGAGGAGGTGATAGGAGGAGAGGTCACAGTCAGATCCAAGCCCAGTTTCACAGTCTTCAGCACGGGGGAGTGAAGTGCAGAGGCCCTGGGGCTGCTGCTGGCTGAGGAAGCAGTAGACCTACATTACAGAGAAACAACAGCAACATAAAGCTACAGAGGAAGAGCAAATTCTATCTATGGATTCTTCTCAATCAGACTGTGGAGCATACCAGTACAACCACAGTGGTTTTCGGCTGACTGGTTATATTTCATTGACAAGCGCAGTATTCAATTATTTTCCTCTCGCACACTTTTATGATTAGTCCAATAACTCATGACCATCTGACAACACGCCCTGATTTCTTTTCTCAAACCGTCACCATCACTTTCTCTTTGGAAGAGGTTTAATTACGAAGGAATCAAGTCTAACCTGAGAGAGGCAAAGCTGGTCTTGGAGCTTCGACTGCTGGAAGGAGTGGACGATGCAGATGGAAGAGACAGATCGGCCTGAAGGAGAGAAACACACTCAGAGTAAAGACATGTGTTTTTGCAACTCCATGAATCCCATAAATGACAATAAAGCACAACTTATCTTGACTAAATGCTAAATCGATCCTCGAAATATAAAAAAATAATAATAAATGCAGAGTAGATTGTTTTATACCTGCAGGAAGTATTTCTGGAACACTAATTTGAGGTCAGGTTTGTCCTCCATGGCCTCACTCAGCATGCTGTTGATACTCTTATTGAATTCTTTCAGCTCCCTCAGCTTAATGTCCTGCTCCTCAAAAGTCTCATTCTTGGTGTTTTTTCCTGAGCGGATCTCTTTAGTCAGCTTAGAGCACTATCAGACAGAGAGGACACACACACAAAAAAAAGGTTATGGTGACAGCTAATACATGTTTGTGGTCAAAGACCCCTAATGTAAATACACACAACAATATACCTTTATTCACTCCTAACTTCCAATGTTAAGAAAAAGTGGGACAGGTATCAAACCTGCTTTGTGGCTCTGACAGCCTTCTCCTGCTGGGAAGCGATTTCTTTGTTCAGTTTACTGATGAGTGACTGTTTGTGCTCTATTCTATCTTTCTCCACCTTCTCCTCCTGCAGCAAACTCTCCAAGGTAGTGACCATGTCCTGGAAACGGGGAGCGGCACAGAGACACATGTCATACAACAGCAAGGCATCGGGGGCAGATTCAGAGCAAGACAACTTCCCTGGATGAGTTGTTGAGTGGGTTTATTCATGACCCAGTACCACTGCAGGAACAACACCTCAATAATAAGCTGAAACTGAAGAGGAGAGCACAGAGTGCTTTGACAAGGAAATGAAAAATACACAAAGAGTGTATATGGAAAGAAAACTGGAAATGCTGACAATAATTTCCAACAGTAATTAGTGTCGTAAGATCGCCCATTGGAAATAAAATAAGAATGTTTAAAATACAAAACATAAAACTATTACTACTAAATGTATATTAAGTGCAGTATAACCTAATTAGTGTGAATAGTAAAAGAGGAAGTGGCATACTTGGTATTGATTAAAATGATGTTTAATTATAAACTGTTAAAATGCTGTTGACAGTAGGCATGTTTAAATTGTAGGCTGACCTCTGGAGGATATATTCCAAATGTAACACAAATAGCAGAGTGTTGGGATGACTATGCTACCTTTTAGGATGAGGTATTTAGTGTTCAGGAACTGATTCTATTTATCTCAAACTGGCTATAAATAGAAATAACCTGTAAGTCCTGTTGGAGCTCTTCCCCTTGTCTTATCTTATACTTCAGCGTCTCTTCAGCTGCCCTCGACTGCTCTTCTAGCTTCAGTTTGTCCTGGTGCTCTGGACCTGAAACAGAAACAGTCTAAATGACTCTGTGATCAGTGAGAGGTGCTCTATTGATTATATGGACAAAGAGGACAATTACACATGAATCGCTTCCTGCTGATGATCCCTGTTAAGAGAGTTGTTGCTGATTGTGTTTCATTCAGTCTACCTGTACGTACTGGATTCTTCTACTTTGTTGAGCGATTTGCGAAATGTCGAGTTACTGTTGTCGAACAGCTGAATGGTGTTCTCCAGAGCTCTATTCTCCAGCTCCATCTTGCGGATTGTGGCATCCAGACCGTCTCCCTTCCGCTTGAGCTCCTCTTTCTCTAGTGCAGCCTGATGGAAAGCACACAGCAATGATGCAAAGTGCCGGTGTTCAGCTTCAACAGACTTTTGTATGTAACGCGGGTGGTGTGTGTAAAGACCTCTTACCTTTGTGATGTAGTAAGCCTGTGATTTCTGCTCTTCCCCCTCAGGAGCTGCCATCATGAGCATCGCAATCTCAAAGCGTTTCTTCAGCGTGTCGATCTTGGACAGTTTCTCATTCAGTTCAGCACTGACACAAAATCAATCGCTGAATGAAGTGATCGTTCTCAAAATCATGCAAGTATGACATGAAACTGAAATAGTGGGCTGGAGGAGAGTGGGATTTGTGGTCACAGCTGTTTTTTGTTTTTTACCTGAGTCTCTGTCTCTCCTGCTCACTGATCTTGTTCTGTTGGCTGAGCATCTCTTTGTAGACCTTCACCTCTTCCTGCCTGTCCTGTATGATTTTCTGCAGCTCCAGCTTCCTCTTCTCCAAGGACAGCACGTTGTCCGTCTTGTTGTACAGCAGATCACTCTGACGCTTGACCTCTATCTTGCAGACGTAGTGCTCCACCATGTTGTCCTGATCGGGAACAAGTGAAGTCAACATAGTGCATGGTTTTGTTCTGCGTGCAGATGGCGTTCATTTTCAGATACATGACGGATATATTTCAGTGTAAAACCCTTAAAAACATCATTAGCGGACTGACGACCTCAGCGTTTTGGTATCTGGTGTCTACAGACAGCGCTGACATCTGTGGTCGATTACTGAGCAGCTTGCATTGACGTCCTAAAGGTGAAAGCTAGAACTGTAACTCACAACCATTGTGATTATTAAATCATCCACTAATTATTTTTCATTTCTCAGTTTTTCTTTAAAATGTCAATAAATTATATTTTCCTGCAATCTACAGGCTAAACTGATTAATCACAAAAAATAATTGACAGATTAATTGATCATAAAAAGAAGTGTTTTATTTACAATTATATGAAAAAGAGAAAAATGACACTACACTTTCACAGTTGATTGACTGTAACCACTAAATGTCTGGTAGTTTTACTTGAATAGTGATAAATAATTGTTTCAGCAATAAGAGGAATGAGCTTGAATCAAACCAATAGTGAAGAGAACCACACACAGTATGTCCACATGGTCATGGTTTTATGGTATATGCAGTGACAGCAGTTAGTTACCTGTCTGCTGAGCCTGAGTCTCTTCAGCTCCTTTTCATTGCTGTTTCGGAGAAGGATGAGCAACTCCACCTTGTCGCTCAGATCTTTCTTTTGAGCCTCTGACTTCTCCATCTCTTTCCTCAAATAGCGAATATCATCCTGTCAGAGACAAAGACATGCGTGAGAGGGGATTATTTCCCGGTGAGGGGACAAACAATCAAACTGACCTCAGACTCCTTGACCGTGTTGGTAAGCATGTTGGCTGTGTTCTTCTTCTCCTCTAGGGCTTTCTGTAGCTCAGCAATCTTTATGTCGAGCGTTTGTTTTTCGTCTGTGTAAACGTCGTCTTGCAGCCGTGCCTGTTTTCTAGCCAGGCCGAAGATCTGTGCGTCCTACACAATGCAGGAGAATGAAAGGAAAGTCTGAGTATCTGTGTCACCATTGTAGAGTTTAGCACCAGATGGGAAAGATGGGGAGTTTGATTGTAGAAAGTCACATTTGTGTGTGTTTTTTGGTAAGCGTGCCTGTTCACTCATGATCATCTGCTGTCTTATTAAATCCTTCTCCAGCTTTCTGAGCTGGTGGTCCAGGCTGGTGATGCTGTATTTACTCCTTGAAATCTGTGCGATAGAATCCTTCTCTTTTGTCTTGAGAGCCTGCAAACACTCTTTACGACGAAAAAGCTCCTCGCTGAGGTCACGCAGCTGGACATCCAAATCCTACAGCACAGCACAGAAATGACAGGGTTACACAGTAACAGAAGAAATCTGTATCATTTTGAGCTCAGTGAAATTGGGGGTTCTCTAAATCCACATTTAGTTTCAGAGTTAGTTTAGTTAGTATTTAATGTATTTGCATCTTTACAGAAAGCAGAACGGTCTCATATTTGATTGATGGTCAGTTATTGTGTTTTCAGGAGAACATTAGCTGTTAATTAAAGAACTAAAGAAAATATTTGTTGTTCATTGTTTGTGAAGTGTCTGCAGCTCACGTCACATAAAGCACTAAAAACATCCACCAATCACAGGGTATGAAGTCCTGTATATAGCATGATAGCAGTTAGTGCAGCTTTAAATTCATAGCTTAACCAGCTTGTGTTTTGATTGTGCCTAAAGCCATCAGAAAAGAAAAACCAATGAGTGTTCTGAGATGCAAAATGGTCCTGAGATGAGGAACTAAAAAAAAATCTATTAATGCTTTAAACAACAGTTATTTTCCAGCTGCCAACATAGCAAAGTAGCGGTTTATGTTTCAGGATTGTCAGGCTGCTTACCTTGATTGTGTGTTCCTCATCCTTGAGGAGCTGGTCCATCTGGTCCGCTCTCTCCTCCTCACTAAGGGCTGTCTGAGTCACAACCGTCAGCTTCTCTTCCAGTGCAACATTGTAGGCCCGGGCCTTCTTGAGTCTACAACACACACACACACACACACACACACACATACAGACGGAGCTTGTGTATTAAAGCTAGAGTAGTAATATAGCAACAGACATGTGTTGTAAGATTTCACTGACTTGTCATTGTTATCCTGGATGTCTTTCTTCATTCTGGATATTTGGGACGTCCCAGACTCCACATCGGAGTTTGATCTGTCCAGTCGGCCTTTGCAACTATCAAGCTTTAAGACACAAGACAATCAATTCACACATTCTTCTAAAACTCAATTGAAGCATTCTTTGAGCGCACATTCAGCTATGCACAAAACGAAAAATATTTGTTAGCGGGATTCAAAAGTTGACCTCATCCTTCAGCCTGCTGCAGTTATTCTCCTGCTCCTTCAAATCCTGCCGCAGCTTGACAGCTTGTCGGGTGGCCATGGTTATCTTCCTCTCAATTTCCTTGTTGTTGTTCCTCTGAGTATCCAACAAGTGCTTCCTCTCTGTGATGGTGCCATTCCTCTCCCTGATGTTCTGGTTGGCATCGGCAAGTAGCTGGACGTATGAAGGAACAAGACGGGATTACAAACACTTTTCACTTGGCGGTCCAGTTCAACGTGCGTTCACTCTGTTTGGTTTTAATGCATTAGATCAGTCAGCATGTCATTTACCAACAGAAGTGCAACGTCACAGACTTTACCAGAGCACACTGCTGCATCTCAGCGTCTCGTTGCTTTATCTGCCTGATAGTTTTTTCCCATTGGTGAATGAGCTGCTGTGACTCCAGGTGGGCCTGCTGCAAATTTTCTGTAGTTTTATCCAAAGCAATCTGTTTGGAAAGCAGAACAAAAGTATATTCTCGTAGACAATGTGAAAGTCTTAAAAGATTTTAAATGTACAGTGTTTTCTTATAGTACCTGTGCGGATACAGTCTCGGTCAATTCTTTGTCAAGTGCTTTGCGCTTTTCATTGGCCTCCAGTGTCTTCTTTTCCAGAGCCAGAGTGAGCGACTATATTGAAGAGATTACAAAGGTCTTAGTTCAGGAAGTTGTAAACAGCATTTTAGTTTACTGAAAACAGAACAGGTGCACAGCCTGTTGATGCTTATTTCATACGGCCCTTTTCTCCTCACCTTGATCCTCTGCTCATCTTGCTGGGCGTACTTGATGATGGCCATCGTGTCCTCGTCTTTACGTGCCGAGTCCTCTAAAAAGGCATCCATGGTCTGCTGGTCCCAGTTCATCTGGTTCCTGAACTCCTCTAGCTTCTGTTTGGCCTTGAAGATATGGTTCTGAAAGATTGAGTAGTATTTTAGCACCAAACAGCTATACTTGTTTCTCTGTTAAAGTATATATGTTGTGGATGGTATAGACCTCTAGCATGTTCTTCCTTTCTTCTAAAGATCTATCATCATTCTCCATCTTAGCAGTATCCTGCGCTAGGCGACCTTTCTCCCTTTCTGCGAGGGCGGTGAGGTGTTTTTCCAACTCTCCTTCCCTTTCCTTTGCCTTGCACAGAGCCTGTGTTCAGGACAATCAAAAAGAGAAATGAACAACACACCCCGATACTGTGACTATAACCCAATTACAAGAGGAGACACACATCTGTCTGACATTTAATAAATACACAACGCATTCTGATAAACCTACCTCAGTATTATCCAGCTCTTGTTCAACATTTTTGAGAAATTCGGTCTTCAACTGATTTTGATCCTTGTTTTTCTCAAGTTGGTTTCCCAGTTGCATCAAGTCTGTCTCTTTTTTACGAATCTGTTGTTGAGAAAGTCATCATAATAAAAGCACAACATATATGACACACAGTCTGCAGCATGTTTGTTCTTGTCAGCTGTCTTATATGTTTTGCCCATCACTACATGCAGATACAAACATTTGACTTGTGACACACGTTACAACTTGTGAATCCTATAGAGCCACATGGCTAATAATGTAATTATTACAATATGGTTGCAATGTAGAGCATTATATAAAAGTTACTAATGCAGCTCATGTGAGCCATGTAGATTTTGATAGTGTGCCACATGACCTGGAATCTATAAATTTGATTATTTTAAGTAAAAATATCAACTTCAGACAAAAGTTCAAATAGGCATCACAGTTCAATGAGAAACATGAAATATAGAGAACATATCCCTTAACAATAAGCAAATATGCAGGCCTACAAACACACATACAAACAGGTAAACATCTTGTAATACAGGAATTACAGAGACATTTTTGACACATTTTAAAATCGTATTTTCAGCGTTTCATGTTTACTTTATATGAAAGAAAAAAAACACGTTTGTATGGCAACCTTTTCCCTCAGATTATAAAAAGTAAAAGCATAACTCATGAGTCATTGGGTCTGCAGATATCATTTCGGAACGATGACCAGACGGTTGAATTGATCTTCTTTTTTTTTTTAGCGTTTGACGATAACTAAATGAACCAATTAACTTAGTTTGACCACGTTAGGTTAACAGTGCTACACAGCACTATCAGTAACTCGTTACATGGCTAACGTTACTAAAATAAACTAGATAACTAGCGTCATAACGTCCCCACACTCACCTCCTCTATCAGAGCCTGGTTTTCATTGTTGGATTCAGGGACAGCAAAGCCCTCGTCCCAGCCCGTATCTGTAATGCCCGACATTTTCCTAAGACTCTACAGAGTAACAACAATGTTCAATCAAAGTGATAACTGTTTCTGCTGCGATCAGTCGTTTGTTTCTCCAGTCGACTGTTACCACGCTGTCTGTTGACAGTGGCTCTTAGCAACCGCTTGAGCCTTAAAATGTTATCGCGACAAGGAGGCAGCGCGAGGCAATTAACAGTGTCAAAAACGTTCAACGTGGAGGCTGTTGAGCTATACAACACATACAATGACACGCGTTAACTCACAACGTATCGTACACAGACAGTATAAAGAGAGCCAAGTATGTCCAAAAGAATACCTCAACTTCTGCATATGGTTTCTCCCTAAAAGTATAATCACTTATGTATAATTTAAAATACCAAAACCGAACATTGTCCGGTGTCAGCTTAAAATTCAGTTATACGAACTTCTCCAAGCCGAAGAAAATGACCTGCCATTCATAAACCACGAGCTTTATGAAGTCACTAACAAAACATCATTGGTGTTGAAGTGAGGTTTTCAGCTTGTGATGGTATTTGACCTCACAACTCAAAAGCACTCTTCTCATTTAGTAGAGAAGGTATATATGCCCTAAATCAGAAGTATTACCTAACCAGGTGTTACTGAGAATTACCTCTTAATGACTTCCCTTTTTTTTTTTTTTTTTTTTTTTAAAACACAGAAATACAAAGGCCTGGCAGCTTTAAAGATACCAAATTGAAACATTTATTTTATCTTTATACATGTGTTTAAACAAACAGCATTATGCTTAAAAAATTACAATCAATGTTTTATACTGACTTGTCGCACAAATGTATCATAAAACAAAAACAGGAATGCACACAAGAGTATTAAAATTCAATATTTAAAGAACAACATCCCCTCGCGAACCCTCATGTTTAGATAACAGTTCAAAAGTGTGTCTATCTACCTGCTTTTGAGCGGAGCCCAACCACATCACTGGGCCAAGACGGTGACTCCTCTCTAGTTGGCTTGAGCGCACACAAAAAGCCCAATACTTAAGATAAAAAGATCCAAACCACCACAAGTTGACCAACAAAGAGATATGCCTTTTTATATATATATATATGTAAATACACACACACATATATAAAGTCTCTGTTGTGTAAAATATTTCAGTCCTGAGGGTTGAAAAGGCAACATAGTTCTCAGCTCAGTGCGGTCTTCTTGTCCTCCGTTCACTGCGCTCTCTGGTTTTCAGAAACCTCACATGGATGTTCCCATAGCGAGAGCTTAAACTGCCGTGCTTTTGGTCCCGATGTGTGGTCGTGCAAACTCCACAAAGTCATCAATAAGGACAGGCCATGCGCCTATTGAAAGAAGAAATAAAACAGATTAAATGAATTGACTCCACAATGTGTGAAGACATGATTATGGACTGATCTGATCATTTGATACTGTAATAGGCCTGTGTGTAGCAGGGTAGAGGCACCTGTTCTACTAGGCTGGGAAGGAAGAATTACAGGTCACAGACACTTGCATCCACACAGTGATACATGGGTTCACTTTTAGCCGACTGCCGCTACAAACCTTCCTCGTCATAATTCGACATGTCATCTGTGATCATAGTGCTGAAGTCAAGTAAGAGGTTCCAAGTGTCCTTAGGAATTGATCTTTTGTGGTGCTCCTGCAAAAGATGTCGAGCCAAGTTGAAAAAAAAGTCAACGAGAAGTAACAATGTTTGCATTTTTAAATGAATTCTGAGTGATCGACTTACAACTAAAAATTTGTTCCACAACTCCAGGAACTTGAATCTTCCAGCCAGTACTAAATTCCAATATGCAATTGCCATTTCTAAATCTGTAAGATAACCAGAAAAAGCTCAATATACACTAAATAAATAAACAGTTGATGATGAGACGTATTAAAACGATCCTTACCCAAACCTTTCTGGCCCGGATTCTTTGCAAAATTAAATGTAAACTGGTAAAAGTCCTTAAATTTCCCTTGGTCCTTTAACTCTTGATCCATCTTTGGCAGCTGAGCTTTGAGCTTCTCTATGCTGTCACACCTGGGGGAACACAAAGCAGACTGTTTCTACAGTGCAATCATCATTGTTTGTTGTAAACCTTAGCAATTCATAAGGTTTATGTATAATGGTAACTTTGTCAAACCTACAATTAATCAATCAGTTTGTACTTGACACCTTCTAAAACAAAGCCTAGAAGCCTTTACACTGATAAGCATGTTTCTGCACATCATATGTCTACATATAATATTATATAAAGTATAGTAGCTCTGTGAGTTAGACAATGAAGTCCTCTTTACATCAAACAGATGGAGTTTCATGATTGTTTGTACCATCTGAAGATTCATTCTCACCCCTGTTCTGCCATGCCATCCATGAACTCCTGTTTTGAAAATTCGCACTGTGTTGCTGCCCTGAACTTCCAGGCTATGAGGAGGACACTTATACTGGCTGGGTCCAGAGCCAGGTCGTCACAGAACTGCTGGATCCCATCAATGCCGATCTTGTTATCATCATGAGGATCTAAATATTAGGGTGTGAAGAGTGCTTGATTAATTACTTTCCAGCCAACGATTAACAGTCATTATTATATAACATATGATGCATTCTTATACTGTCTATAACATCTCATACCTCTATATCTGTTGTACAGTTGATCGAGCCTCTTCTTGTCTAAGGCCCCCTTTAGATGTGAAACATAGAGCTCTGGATTTTGGAAAAACTTATCCGTGGCAACATCTAGCTTCCAGTCATTCTGTGACAGACAGGTCAGTGCGGTCTTCTCATTGGATTGTGTGAAAATCATGAACTGACGAACTTTATCCTTCTGTGAGGACTTCAGCTTGTTCTGCACAAAGACATACAAAACACTTGTTGTTGCAACACACGAATAGACTCACGTTAGTGCAAAGAACAGCAATAGCAAAAACAACCTTATTTATCAGTTGTCAAAAATGTAATGTTAGCCTGCAGTACTCAATCCAACATAATATTGGGCTAGCTGTTCGCTAAATAAACATGGAATCATTGATTATCACGTTTAATAACAACAATAAGATAACCAGCAATAGCATGTCCCCCTGACAGTAGAGACCCGACTTGAAACGTGTTGAATGGCTGGCTAGCCTTCGATGGCTAGCATCTTTACATTTATGATAACATTGAACAACCAAGCTAGTCATAACGTCGCCTCGACAACAATACATAGCTGATGCTGATGCAGTGTGTGTAACGTTGGCTAATTTTGATTGTCAGTTGGCTTAAAGGCTAGCAAGCTTAGCTAACGTTAGCTAACTAGGCAAGCTGTCTAGGCTCACCGTGAGCTAGTTAGCCAATGCTAATGCCGAGAGCAGCGTTTGTTTTCATTGTATAAAGGGAATGTGAGGTACTTAGCCCAGCTGCTTGACTGTATGACTCACAACAAAGTGATACTTTGTGTTTGCGACCACTGTTTACATCTGCATCAGAGGACCAGATTAAAAACGACCATTTCTTACCATGTTTGTCTTTGCCCGACTCCCTTTCCGCCCATCCAGCTGGCTAATGCGTGTAAAGTTTTAAGAAGCACGGGAAAAGTTCTTCCGGTTGAAGCATCATATACTAAAATAAAAGTACAACATTGGTCGCTCCTTGGTTATACCACATCCTAAAGTGATTTTTTTATTTTATTTTCTAGTCAGTACACAATACATTTTACACACATGTGATTAAGTGAAAAAACACTTTGTCAAAGTTTGACGGATATGGGTGAAATTGTGCTTTTATTTAGGAGCAACATGTAGGAAGTGACTCTAGAATTCAAGAAAAATTGCTCTTTCCTCTATGTCCGACCTACCAGACGTCTATCTGGATGTTTAGAACTGCTCTAGCAAGATTTCAGAACAAATGGAAATCGTACAGACACAGGTTTGTACCTTGGGTTGCACTGAACCTGTCCAGAAATGAGAAAACTTTGCGGAAGGTGACAGAGCGCTCGAAAGACAAACTAGTCCCGGATGAGGAGGTTTCACGGAGCCTGCTGCAGCTCTTCAGAGTCCTGCTCAGGAGTCATGGGGCTGATCATGGGCAGCTCCGAGCTCTTCAAAATCACTTTCTCGGGCAAGTAACAAGTGAAGAAGACCAGTGTGGAGGAAGTTCAGTGTGTGGAGATGATGTCATGTTACAGTCACTGGGATTCTGCCTTGACCGGCAACCTAGCTCTTTACCCTCTGCAGGAACTGGAGTGTTTGTCACCAAAGGATGTGTACCCAAAGGAGCTACAGTGGCCATGTATCCCGGCACAGTCTATCAAGCCTATGAGCCAATTCTCCTCCAGTCCATCAGAAACCCTTTTGTATTCAGGTGTATTGATGGTGTCTTGATTGATGGAAATGACAAAGGCATCTCCAAAATGGTGTTCAAGTCATGCAGTGGCAGGGACAGAATGGGGCCTTTCATTATGAGTGACACCAGCTGGCTGACATCCACCCCACAAAACCCACTTGCTGTTGGTCAGTACGTGAACAACTGCTCCTACGAGACGCCTGCTAACGTGTGCTACCAGGAATACGATGTGCCGGACAATTTTCCCATCCGGCTCCGCCAGTATCTGCCTAATGTCAACTACAGCCATGAGGCACAGAGGCCTCTACGCTGTGTTGTCCTTGTGTCACTCAGAGACATTACAGCAGGCGAGGAACTCTTCTCCAACTACTTCACCATTGTGCATTAGAGGCAAAGTACACACCACTGTTCTGCTTTGGTGTCAGAACTTAAGAAAATGTACTTTTTTTTTTTTTCTAAATTATTATTGTTTGCCTTCCTAAAAGAAGAAATACAATTTTCAAAAACCTCTCTCTTTGTACACTAGCATTGTTCTGTAATAAAGGTAAAGTACGGATTACTGTAATATGCAAGACACAAAACTGCTCTTATTTGAGCTTAAGGGTATTGCCGGAATATATAGAAAACATCCAAGATGAATTGGGCCAGTGAAACAGACCACACATGATCTGCATGTTACAGACGTGTACAGTGGTGACAGTGGCGTGTCCACACTTCTTAACTGGGGTGACCCACGTTGGCCACTGACTTCTGCAGGGTAGGAATAGCATTGATCTGACCGGCTTTCACTAAAGATGTCTCTTGAATATCTAAGGCCGAACTATCAGCTCTTTGTCCACAATACAAGATGGGCAGACAGGGAGGAAAATATATAATTTAACTGTTAATTTAACTTACTTAAAAAGTTAGCTTTTTACATTCATCTGTTTAAACTATAAGGTCCTGCCTCTAATAGGGCAGATTTGCTATCTGCCCTATCAGCACCTATGTGGCCAATCAGATTTCAGGGGTAGCCACACCTTGGTCACGCCCCTGATTGGTGGAAGAGGTATTGAAGTCCTTTACTTACAGTTGAGGAGCTTTGAACTTGTTATGTAACAGCCTATGTGAGCTCCTGGAGGGGAAGAGCTCCACACCCGGCAGCAGTACCTCCTCCTCCGACCAGGAGCAGAGCTTTGCCTCGCTGGGAGCCAACAATGACACCGCACGACTGGAGGCCCAGGCCATATTGTTGGAAAGGGACCGGGACTGCACATGGAGACTGTCAGATCCTGCTGTCAATAAATACAAGTTATATTAAAGGGATTCCAGTGCTCGATAACACTACGCGTTTGTCCACAGAGACCGCCAAAGTCAAGGTCTCTGTGGACAAGAGACCTTGAGACAAGAGACTCTGTGGACAAGAGACCTTCTGAGGTGAGAAGGGTAAGGGTAACACAGGGCAATAGAGACAAATCAAAGGTCCTCGTAGCTTTAAGTAAAAGTAGCAATACCCCATTACAAAGGGTCTGCATTAAAAACGTTACATAAGTAAAAATACAAGTTATCAGCTAAATGCAATAAGGTGTCCAAAAATAAAACTGCAGAATAGCCCTTTTTAGAGAGTAATTATTGAATTCATGAAAAATAGATTTCATATTATTGGATTATTTCTAATGTATTGTGTAAGAAGCATGTTGTGACAGAGGAGGAGCTAATACTACTGTAGTTAGTTAAAACTATACTGGTGTACGTAAAGGTGCTCATATGTTTTTTTATGAAAACTTTAACCTTCAAAATACCTATGTAACTGGAGGTGCATAAAGGAACTACTCGGGTATACCTCACAAGTGTGCCTGATTAAATGTACTTTGTTACTTTACATCACTGCCTTACAGGAAGACAGATCGTTATAGGCACTCAGCAGACAAGGGCATACAACTGATGTTACTTTAGTGGGAGGGATCGAATGTTCAGATTCGAGTTCAGTTCTAAAAAGGGTACAGACTTTGATATCACAGGGAATTCCATGCACACTACTTGTTCAATCGGGGATTAACGAGAACTTCATCCACATCTGGGGGGAAACAGTATAATCTGCAGACGCAGGTTAAATGGGTTCTAACGCAGAAGAGGGTGCAGATCCTCCAGGTATAGGCAGGCCTTCAAACAAACAAAACATATGAGGTGAGAAGGGTAAGGGTAACACAGGGCAATAGAGACATGAACTGGTCATTTGAATTGGTCACTAAGGAAAACACAAGAAAAGCATAATACATTATGTTGGTTATAGTCTAATGATCAGTTTAAAATGATAGGTGGAAAGAAAACTGCAGAGAAAATTATATTTGATAAATGTCAATTTGGAGTTTGTCAAGTCCAGCAGTGGAAGTTTGCAACACTGAAAACTTGCCAATTTTTTCAACATTGTGCCACATAAAGACGAGTGAGACAAGTTTGTCTGTGTAATCAGGTTTCTTGAAGATGTGCAATGTACCACTTCTCCCTCTGCTGCACCTCTTCCATTACACATAGTACATTTTAATGTCACATTAATTGTATTTCATGAACTCCGTAATTGTATCATTACTGCAACTGTATTTCATTAACACCCCTTGTATCGGCCTCACACGAACCCTCTCTAAAAAAGATATTGCGCAACCTTGTCATGACTAGTTTTGTCCTTTCAGGGACACTGTAGCAGCCCAAGCACTACTTATTACTGCAATATCCTTCCGCTAAAAAATATAGTCTGGATTAGTTTTCACATTTTTAATGGTTATTGTAAGATATATTTGTTAAAATCAGATAGTGAATACAAGTTAGTGTGATCTAAACATTAAGTCAGTCAACTGAGGCTATATTATTGACGAAACTGAGCATTTTCACTTCAACAGGGAAAATAGTCCGGCTGCATAAAAGCAGTTGGCATTGCCATCAGCGATCTTTCCAGTCGCATGCTGAAGTTGGGAACGGATCATGTCTAGCGAGTCTGCTGATTACAACAGGTAACAATCGTACAATTGGTACATTAATAAAAATAAATAATAGTTTATGGTTCATGGGCACTTAAGAGTGCCATGGTTGTGTGCACGAGGCCGAATTATTTGTTATCTAGCTAACATTAGTTGGGCCCCAACCGCTGTGAGGGCGATTGGGTTGCTAACAGTGATGCTAGCCTTGTAACGGTTAGCTACACAGAATTTACAAACGTTACTAGCTGTTTGGATTTGGTTGCTTTTTCTTAACTCGATATGGAAGTTATTAAAACTGGGTTGTGTTTTTGTTTTTTTATTTACTTTGGTGTCGAAGCCGGTGGTTGTTGGTCGGAGTAACCGTTGGGCCTGGCTACCACTCGGCCTAGTTAGGCACCGGAAACCACCGTTGGCTCCACAGGCCCAACTGTCCGAGATATTGACTAACGCGTTTGATTCTCAAATTGACATGAATCCCCATCATCGGTGGTCGTATGAGCAGGCCTCTAACATTTAAGGGTCCCATCATCGGTAATTTATGGAGGAGCAGGTAATAGAGCCCTCGTGGGATTTGACACGTGCGTCCAGCAAAGCCCCGGACTCTGTAAAGAGATTGTGGGTACATCGTTGGTGGCGGAGCTCTGTTTATTCCCATTAAAGTAGCTTAGTGTCTCATAAAGCCTAAAAAAAGTTCGGCATCCATGGCCCTGTAGCGCATGCGCTTAAACTATTCCTTTAAATGTCGTCTCCCAGCCCTCGGCCCACCCTCGGTCCCATACACGTGAACGGAGTATGGGCAATTAACAAAAAACGCATTTTATAAATTAAGACCGAAACATAAAAAAAGAAATCTAACTTGCAGACACTTTTTCAAATGCGAGTCAATATGGGAAACGGTACCCCAAAGTTGTAATTCCAAAAGCTCGTTCCTCGTGGGGGTTAGATGCATCAGACCGGCATTACGTCATCCAGACTAGGCCGTCATCTCCTCACCCCTTTAGAGGGGGAGACTAGATGGCAACAGCCTGAGCAGAGGGAGGTGAAACATGTCTTCAGACTTTTACTTTAAACTAGTTCAAATGAACAATGCTGTGCCAAAGAGTTGCAAATCAATTGCAAAATGCTGGTCTCCGATTTGCTCCCCTGCAATGTCATTTAAAAAGATAATTGGGTGGGAGGGCTTTATAAGCTTAAGACCAGATCAGTGTTGCATCATCGCCCAGGCTGCAGCGCTCCCTTTCATGGGAAAGAAACAGGAAAATGCTGCAAAGCTCGACCGAGGCGTTAATGTTGAGATTTGAGGCACATGGCTCTGTGAATATTCACCGTTTGTGGAATCATGCAGATGACAATTGCTCAGTTTCAGGCAAGGTTACAGGGTAATAACAGGACAGGTATTTTAACGGTTTATAGAGATGCATAAACATGTCAAACTTAAATTGTGATGACATTAACATGTAGTTATTCTACCCTGAATAAATCTCTTCATTTTTTGTGATGGTAATATGATTGTGAGTTGACTTAAAAGTAAATTATCACCTGCCACTTTTCTTACAGTTCAAAAGACCATGGGGGGCCAGATGGAATGGAGCCTGATGGTGTCATCGAGGTAATAAATACGACAAAATTACATCAATCATAATTTTTTTTCACTGCTGAAATGCATATAAATATACCTCCAGCATGGACTTGGTGTGCGTACACTCAGTATCTTTTTCCTTTTTCACTTCAGAGCAACTGGACCGAGATTACGGACAACTTTGATGATATGAACCTGAAGGAGACTCTTCTCAGGGGAATATATGCATATGGTTTTGAAAAACCATCTGCCATTCAACAAAGGGCCATCATACCTTGCATCAAAGGTACAGAAACGTATTTAACTGACAAGTGTATTGTTCATGTTTTGAGTGAAGTGATGCTTGATCATCTTTCGGGACTTACCCAATAATGGGGATATCTTTTTTCTTACTGATCACTCAATACTGTTGTTTTTATACACTTTCTTGTTTACTGCAGGGAGGCGATCAAACTTGACATATTGTCATGTTTGTTGTATAAAAATATAAATGCACAATTGTAAAAATGAGTTAAAAGACATCTTTTCTCACTGTAACTAATATTTGTGTCCTTGCCCTCAGGCTATGATGTCATTGCCCAGGCCCAGTCGGGCACTGGCAAGACGGCCACGTTTGCCATCTCTATCTTGCAGCAGCTGGACATAGAGCTGAAGGAGACTCAGGCTCTGGTGCTGGCTCCCACCAGAGAGCTGGCTCAGCAGGTATGCTGTTTCTGAGGTCATTGACCTCCACAGTATCTCAGACCTAGACAGCATATTGAGGACACTGATTCAATTACTAAGGTACCCTTCTTTCGAAACTTCTCAAAATTCTGAAATTGTAACAGTATCCTCTTAAGATTGGTGTAGTCTCTGTCCATGGCTGCATTGGTCTAAGATCTGGCTTTGATTGTGGGTTGAAGTATTCACATGTTGCTGTGGAACACTGAGTGATATGATGGCATACCATCTTTCGGGACTGACTCTTCTATGGAGATTTTCTTGTATTTTACTGATCACTTTGAACAGTTCCACACACTGTGGGAATGTCACGCCGTCTGTATCGCACTTTATCCTGACGTGGTGTGTTTTATGGCCCTGGCCCAACTCATTAGATCCAGAAGGTCATTCTGGCTCTGGGGGACTACATGGGGTCAGCCTGCCACGCGTGCATCGGAGGGACGGATCTCCGTAGTGAAATACAGAAGCTCCAGGCTGAGGCCCCTCACATTGTGGTCGGCACACCAGGACGCGTGTTTGACATGCTCAACAGGGGACATTTGTGTAAGTGTAACTAGTAAACAGAATATTTTTCTCAAACAGTCTCTTCATTTCACAAATAAAAGCTTGACTTAATGCCACGTTTCTGCGCAGCTGCAAAATGCATCAAGATGTTTGTCCTGGACGAAGCTGACGAGATGTTGAGCCGGGGTTTCAAAGACCAAATCTACGAGATCTTCCAGAAGCAGAGCACCAACATTCAAGTAAGAGTCTTTGTGTTAAAGTACAACTCTGACATGTTTAATGTGGAACCCTTCTGCATAAACAGAAGTCTGCTATAATTGTGTGATTCAGATTTTGTTTCATGCAATAATGCTAGCAGAGTATTGCGTGGAAGGAGATTATTACACACTGTACTGGAAATGAGACGTGGTCGAACCTCTTTCTTAATGTTCGTTGGCCTCTGTCTCAAGGTGTAGTGCCACAATTAGGTCTTTGAATTTTGACTTTATGCTGCAACATTTATTGACTCAGTTTAGTGTTTTGGATCTTATGGTAACACGTTATGTGTTTTTAACAGGTGGTGCTGCTCTCTGCCACCATGCCAGCAGAGGTGTTGGAGGTGACCAAGAAGTTCATGCGAGAGCCCATTCGTATCTTGGTGAAGAAAGAAGAGCTTACCCTTGAGGGTATCAAGCAATTCTACATAAATGTGGAGCGAGAGGTGAGTTTATCCATAACGTGACACTGTGGTCGGTAACGTTTCAGCAAGCTGCCTCTCTGTTAGGAATATCAAATGTCCCTTCTCTTTAAAGCACCCTGCTAAAACTGCAGGAGCCAAGCCTCACCGGTTTAGCTCATGTGGCCGTGTAAGCATGGGTACACCAGGGAAGGAAATTAACGGCACAGTATAGGAAATGAGGCTCAGGAGGACCGCTTTCATAATGTCCAGTGTCCTTTGTCTCAATATCCTGTGTTACACGTTAGCTGCTTTTTATAGTGTAGATTTATATTAATGTTTGACTTGTCAGCTTAACAGTGTTCAGTTGACAATGCATTACTGTTGTTCATCTCCAGGAGTGGAAGCTGGACACCCTGTGTGATCTGTATGAGACGCTGACGATCACCCAGGCTGTCATCTTCCTCAACACCAGGAGGAAAGTGGACTGGTTGACCGAGAAGATGCACGCTAGAGACTTCACCGTCTCTGCTCTGGTACGGTTTGTTCTCTAAATTGATCATTTTGATCAATGCCATCGGTATTAATGCTGCACATTTTTCTAACTAAAACGATTCTCAATCTACAGCACGGTGATATGGACCAGAAGGAGCGTGATGTGATTATGAGGGAGTTCAGGTCGGGCTCAAGCAGAGTGTTGATCACCACTGATCTTCTGGTTAGTATGAGGTCTATGTATGGGGGGGGGGGGACATGTGTCATGAAGTTACAACCCAAATGTTTTTAATTGTGCAACAGTCCTAAAGTGACCAAGCAGTCGAAACTTTGGGCAGATTAGGGCTGGTACTCCACAATGGGTTTCTCTCCTGTAGAAATCTGTTACTTTGATACGAGCGACAAACGCAAGCGGAACTCGCTCCTATAACTGAAAACATTTTGTGAATGTTGTTACTCATCTTACTTTCCTCCTCAGGCTCGTGGGATTGATGTCCAGCAGGTTTCCTTGGTCATTAACTACGACCTTCCTACAAACCGAGAGAACTACATTCATAGGTAAGTGGCAACACGTATTGCATCATCATGCAAGTCTCTGTCTCCAGTGAGTTTAATGTGGCTCATCTTTGCTCTCTGCAGAATTGGCCGTGGCGGCCGTTTTGGCAGAAAAGGAGTTGCTATCAACTTCGTCACTGAGGAAGACAAGCGGATTCTTCGGGACATCGAGACGTTTTACAACACTACCGTGGAGGAGATGCCCATGAATGTGGCCGACCTGATTTGAGCCGTGAGGTTATTTTATAACTCGGTGATGGCGATCGTCCACTTGCATTGTGCTTATTATATTCGAGGGGGAAAAAAACAAACTTTTCAATGCTAAACCTTGGATCTGAGTTTAGGTGTGTGTTTAAAAGCGAGGTGACTTCTACGGTGGTCCTGCTCGGACAGTTGTAGATTCTAACCTCGACAGGTGGCTGTTTGGCGCTACAAAGTCATGGGGTCTGAAAATGTTAAGGTTCTTATCAGGTATTACTTTCCATGTTCAATCAAGATGTGTGTATTGGATGTTCTCCACCATTTAGTAACTTACTTGTGGACTAAAAGGTATAAGTGCTGTATAAAGTCTGCAAATTATGCTATACTAACCTGTGTATTGTGGGCTGCTTAATAGAGGCACTCATTATGTTTTACTGTCGCTTCACTTGCTCTTTTATTATCTTTTGTGAATGTTAATTTAAATGTACTTTTGTTTTTTAATCCCACTTGCTCTTTATGAATTCATAACCAGTTAACTGCGTTTTGCTGATGTGATTTTACCCTTACGAGAGTATATTGCTAATCCCCCCCCCCCCCTAGCTACTTTTGGGATTTCCTATTGTAGGTCTTAATAAACTGAAATTGCTGTGGATACACTTGCTTTGTTCACTGAACTGTGTAATGTGAGATGGAATTGCTTATTTTTCAGTAAACACAAATGTTGCACCATCCAGCAGGTACGCTGTTAATGACATTGCCTGAAAAGACTAAAAATACTTACTCTGATGTGTGTGGAGGATGTAGATGTCATAACATTATATACTTTCCACTTTCAGAGTTGATAAAACTCTGATAATTACAAATTGGTTTTTGAACTTGTTAAATTGAAGAAATTAGTTGACATGTCACTTTAAAGAAATAACACTTACACATTAGTTCAAATATCAGAAAATGGCTAGACTGCATGGTTTTGTGCTTTTACAACAATAGAATCAAAAATTATAGTTTTACTGGGACATTTTCTCCTGAGTATCTATCAAACTTTTTTTTTTAAAGGAGCTTTCAGAAAGAAACAAGCCACACCTGTGCCGTAGTGTAAGCCATAAGCATTAGCACAATCCCAAAATATTACAGGTGTCTTGCTGGGCACGGTTATGGAAGACTTGTGACTAAGCACCACCTACTGGCAAACAGCGCGTAAACCACCAGAATATTGAGTCACATTTAAAGTCTATTGGAGAAAACTGACAGTCAAATCAGTCATTTTACTGCATTAGGTCAAGGTGTCATGAAAGTCAAATTATAGTATGTTGAAAAGGGGAAATCGGTTTAGTCTGTCATAAAAGTCAGTCTGTCAAATGAGCTGTTGACAAAAATGTGATCAGTTTTTTTTTAATGGAGTTTGTCAATATATACTGACTTATAGTCATTGTTGCATACTACCTACTATTTTCTACATACTCTACTATGAATTCTTTCAAGGAACTTTTTGACATACTGTCCTATGACAGTGCTGCGGGAGTATGGGGTGCCGGACCCGCTACAACGGGCGATCCGGTCTCTGTACGACTGCAGTAGGAGCTGTGTCCGCATTCTCGGCAATGAGTCAGACACGTTCCCGGTGGGTGTTGGCCTCCGCCAGGGCTGCCCTTTGTCACCGGTCCTGTTCGTGATTTTCATGGACAGGATATCTAGGCGCAGCCTGGGGGCGGAGAACGTCAGTCTCGGGATCGCTTCTCTGCTATTTGCAGATGATGTGGTCCTGTTAGCCTCCTCGGATCGTGACCTCCAGCATTCACTGGGGCGGTTTGCAGCCGAGTGTGAAGCGGCGGGGATGAGAGTTAGCACCTCCAAATCTGAGGCCATGGTTCTCTGCCGGAAACCGGTGGATTGCTCGCTCCAGGTGGGGACGGAGTGCCTACCTCAAGCGAAGGAGTTCAAGTATCTCGGGGTCTTGTTCACAAGTGAGGGTAAGATGGAGCGGGAGATCGACAGGCGGATCGGTGCAGCTGCAGCAGTAAAGCAGGCGCTGCACCGGACCGTCTTGGTGAAGAGGGAGCTGAGCCGGAAGGCAAAGCTCTCAATTTACCACTCGGTCTACGTTCCTACCCTCACCTATGGTCACGAACTCTGGGTCGTGACCGAAAGGACAAGGTCGCGGCTACAAGCGGCCGAAATGAGCTTCCTCCGTAGGGTGGCTGGGCTCAGCCTTAGAGATAGGGTAAGGAGCTCAGTCATCAGGAGGGAGCTTGGAGTAGAGCCGCTACTCCTTCGCGTCGAAAGGAGTCAGCTGAGGTGGTTCGGGCATCTAATTAGGATGCCTCCTGGACGCCTCCCACTGGAGGTTTTCCAGGCACGTCCAACTGGGAAGAGACCCCGGGGAAGACCCAGAATACGCTGGAGAGATTACATCTCCCAGCTGGCCTGGGAACGCCTCGGGATCCCCCAGAATGAGCTGGAACATGTTGCCGGTGAGAGGGAGGTCTGGGTCGGCCTGCTTGAGCTGCTGCCACCGCGACCCGACCCCGGATAAGCGGTGGAAAATGGATGGATGGATGGATGTCCTATGACTTCTATTTCTTGTCCAACTATACTGACATTTTTCAATTTGCTATACTATAACGTTTTCATGATATTTTACAACGCAGTATGATTTTTAAACGTACTGCATGACTTTTTATATTTCTCGTCAAACTATACACTGCGTGCACAATTAGGCAAGTTGTATTTTTGAGGATTCATTTTACTATTGAACAACCACAGTGCTCTCGGTCAATCCACATAGATATTCTAAGAAACCTCACTTTTACTTTCTTAAATATTCAGGTTTGAGGTTTATTAACATTTTGGATTGACCGACAGCAGTGTTCAATAATAAAATGAATCCTTGAAAAATACAACTTGCCTAATAATTGTGCACGCAGTGTACTATGACAGTTTTCGACACGCTATACTATGATTTTAACTATATGATTCTTTTCACAACATTTTTTTACATGCTATACTATTACGTTTTATGCCGTTTTAGACGTACTATACTATGAGTTTCATGAAATGTTTTGACTTTTTCTCCCGATTTATTTAACATACTATACCATGACTTGTTTCGTGACATTTTTCTACATACTGTATTATGATTTCATTTCATGATTGTATTTTTCGACACTCTTTTTCATGTTTTTGAACATACTATACTATGACTCTACATGATATTTTTCAATTTTCTATGCTTTGACTTTTTCATGACATTTCTCTCTACTGTACTTTGACTTACTGATATTTACAACATACTACATCATGACTTCAAATGACATTTCTCAACATATTACAATACGACTGTTTTCAGCATACTATACTATGACTACCATTTTAATGACATGTTTTGACAAACTACACCATGACTTTTTACGTGACATTTTTCAACATATTGTACTGTGACTCTTAACATGATATTTTTCAATTTACTATATTATGACTTTTTCATGACTTTTAAATGACATACTATATCGTGACGTGTTTCATGACATTTGTTAACATACTGTATTATGACTTTTTTATGATGTTTTTGAACATACTTTCCTTTTATCGACATTGTATACTTCGTCTTTTTTATTCAGTTTTATGTGCAAACCATTTTCTATCACTAAATTTCCATTGGCACACAGGAATGAAATGTGTTTTTTTTCAAGTTTAGACTAATGACTCAAAGCATATTTGGACATTGCACAAATACAGTGTCTGGTAATGTCTGTTAAAGATGAACTGCCTCATGAGTGGCTGTATTGCTGTCACGCTATCACGACTGTGAGATAGTAGAAAGTGATGAAATTACGAGGTTGTTATGCTCGTGATATCTTCTTTCGTATCTGCATGGAAAAATACAGTAGCTAGTATAGTTTAGCATAAAGACTGGACACAGAACTTTGTTGTTGTTGTTGCTGTCATGCTGTTTCCTGTCTTTGTGCTAAGCTACGCTAACCATCTGCTGGCTGTAGCCTCATATGCAGTGTAGTAGAGAGTAGTATCAATGTTCCTATCTAGGCAGGCAAGCAAATATGTGTACAATAATGTAAAAACTAAGTCTTTTTAAAGACCTATTTTCATATGAACTTTTGTGCCTTGCCAAATAAATTGTGTAAACATCGTATTCCGGGATCGGCTTTCTCTTTTAAAGTTGTTTCTTATTAAAAAGCTATGTTATAGCTCACCCATGGGGCTCAGCTGGCACATTGATCAGCACTGTCTTCACTTATATTTAGCACATCAACTTTGTTAACACAATTATTTGGCAAAGCCACCTCTTGGGGAGTGACTGAAGATGAGCTTCATTGTTCGGATGACAAAAATCTACAGCTGGCTCCCTGTGGGCCAGTTCTCTAAAATGTAAGTGTCTACTGACTTGACCAGAGTGTTTCACTGCAAAGATCACTTCCAGTGAATCTAACAACAAACTAGTTCCTATATCTCCCAGGGACATTATACTAAACAGCTCACATATTGTACATGACATCAGATTTTATTCATTTAAATAAATTGCATATTTATCATCTGTGCATATCTTTAATACAAACCCCCCCAGTCAGTTACAGCCGTAGCAAACAGATGTAGGCAGCTGGTTCCTGTGAATCCTGTGAATTCTTCTTCTTTATGTGCTGCCTTGGAAACAGAGCAGCTGTCAGGAGAACAGCTAATCCAGGCAACATCACATTTCAGGTGGAGGTGCATTAATAAACATTTCGACAATTCATAGTAGGTCGAGGTGAGATGAGGGACACTGAGACAGTGATATTTAAATAAAAAGGGAATTTACTGAGATGAGATTTGGTAAAAGTTTAATATTCTCAGAGATGAAACCTGGATATTGCTGCAGCAGAAATTGGATATACAATAGTTTAAGTCATGAATATTGCAAATGAACACAAAAGCAATGTGGTGACGTGTGAACATCTTAATGTCTCTTGGTTTATGAACAGTCTGAAATGATACTTCAGGTTAGATGTTTCTCCCGACCTGATTTAAGCATCATTTTCAGTCACACAATTAAAAAAATTACGTCCAGTTTTTTTGATGACGTTCTGGCCTATATGCCCGGGTATTGTTGGCTCTACGTATCACATGTCAGGTGGGAAAAAAAACTAAACAAAATCATAGTCCAAGTCCATTCCTTCACTTATGAAGATGTGTCTGGACGTGTCTGGATGTGTTTGGATGTGTCTGGATGCCTTTGGATGCGTCTGGATGCCTTTGGATGCGTCTGGATGCCTTTGGATGTGTCTGGATGTGTTTGGATGCGTCTGGATGCGTTTGGTGGAGCCCTTTCATGCAACATGTTTGCACTTGCACTCTCATGAGGCTTGTGTCGCACTTCGAACCCCACCCTGCTGCTCAGCAAACGGCTGCTATGGAGAGGATGGGAAAAACTTTTTTTGTGCAGTAATCGGCATATTACACACATTTCCGAGCATTGCTTCATGCTGTGGGTCCACTGCATTGTGGTTCCATGATTCACCCAAAGTAAGGAAGTTATTGTTGTGACATTCTGATACACATGGAGTTTCCGAATAGATGTTAGATTATTGATACTACTACTAAGACTAATATAATAATAATAATAATAATAATAATAATAAAATAATAATAATAATAATAATAAAACACTGACTTTCACGTAGGAGATTTTATTTCATAAAAAAAGCCTTTTCACAAATCGAATTACAAAAAAAGATCTTATAACAAGAAAATGTTCAATTAAGAGCCATCGTGTTTTTGCTCATCATTACATCATTATTATTTTCAGCACACGAACCGTTTCTAAAGTCTTCTCACTGACGCATCTATTCGACTTCAATGTGAGGAATTTTACACTTCGTGACATGGAGACATTTTTAGATTTGCCACATCACTGACTGACATATCACTGCATATCATCATTGTGCTTCTGGAACAAGCAGATATGTTACTTCTGCATTTTACTTTTAAAGTAATGACATTGATACATGTCAGTAAGAGAAGCATCCTGTTTTTGGAGTGTTACAAAGTTGTGCAACGTGCATGTGTGTCGCAGCAGTGGAAATAAAACCCAAGATCAGGCTTATAATCAACCGGCTGAGACGGAAAACCAATTAAAATCTCATTTGTGAGAACAGGGGGTTTGGGACTACATGTAAACAGCATCAGTTTAGGAACTATTTTAACACATTCTGTCACCAATGCAAAGCCAGCCTTATTACATTTCTAAACCACCAAAACTAGCTTGTTGCTGATCTAATACTAGCAGTGTCAAGCATGAACTTGATCTCTTTTTGCCTTCTGGAAACACAGAACACCCGCTCCAGTGTTTTGACATCGGTGTCCGACTGAAAGGACTGAGGTAATATTTGCAGCGACGATCCTCCATTCATTTTAACCTGTGACACACTCTCTCTCGCTGTCACATACTGACCCACACACGCAAACCTGACGTAATACTAAAAAAAGGCTGCTTTGCAAGGGTAGGTGTTCAAATGGTAGGGTTTACAAAGGAGAGACATTTTCACGGCTGTGCAGTACAGCCTCCCTATGAGCCCAGTGGTCTTCTGCTTCACCTGCGGGTGGGTCGCTGCCTTCCACAGGTCATAGATATCCTCCACGTGACCATGTGAGGTCATCATCTGGTCATAGATACACGTGTGGTAGGGTGCTTTGCCCTCACCTGAGAAATAGACGTGGTCCTGCGGAGACACACCAACAGCGTTGGCGCAGATGCCCATGAACACATCGTCTATGTAAAGAGAGGCGTTCAGGGTCAGCGTGGCTTGGTAGATTTTGTCAGCTACGTCCCTGGAGACAACATACCCTGCTCCAGCTGTGTAGTCAGGGTACGACAACCACTGGTACATCTTAAAGGGCACATAGTACTTGCTGTCTTTGCTGCGGATCGGCGGTGCCCCTCTGTGCACTCGACCAACCCAAAGGTCTGTGACGCCCCTGCTGCTCATGTCCTGCAGGTAGCTCACCAGGTTGGGCATGTGGATGAAGATGTCGTCGTCAGCCGTCATGAGGAAGCGAGCATGTGCGCAGCGGCTGTGCATCCAGTGGAACTGCAGGATCAGCTTCAGGGTCAGGTTGTGGAAGGAGTCTAAAAAGTCTTGTTGGATCAAATCGCCACTGAGACGGTCCTCGCGGAGGAGCTGCTCCTGAAAACCAACCCTGCTCCCCGTGCTACACGAGGGCCCCACCTTCTTGGCCGGCAGTGTTCCTAAGGCGAACACCACCTTCACCGTCACTCCCAGGGCGTTTTGGATGTAGCTCTCATTGCCCCAGGTGGATCTGATGGCATTTCGCCTCTCAATGTTCTCCGGGGATGATTTGACAAAGAGGAGGAGGAGGATGTCTTTGTCGACACACTTATCCGAGTGGTCCAGCAGGTAGCGGAAGCTGCTGAAGCTTCTGGCCTGCTCACGTGAGACGGTGAAGCTCTTGTTGATGTAGGTGAAGCGGTTGACAAGGTAGCGGTAGGAGTAGGACTTGACGTGGCCGATCACGTGGTTGTCCAGCTGCTCCCAGCAAACCATCACCACTGACAGCACCAGGCATGTGGTCATCAGCTGCACAAAGTGGCATTTTCGTATCCGGCGGAAATTCACAAACATTCTGGAATCTTGTCACCCAGTGGCGCCGGTCCCCGTCTGGTTGGTGATGGCGGTGAAGCGGCTGGTTGTGCTTGTGTACGTGAGAGAGGAAGTGAGATGGTTGTGGAGGTTGAGCGTGTTGTTGCAGTGCCTCAGAGCAGCACTTGCTGGAACTTCCATCCTAGGCTTTCCACATTCGGCAGGAGACTTAGGCGGTGGTGGAAGTCACTGGGTCTGCTGGGAAACGTCCTGCATCTCAACAGAATCACTCGCAGAGTCGCCCAACAGCTGGAGAGTCATCTTTCACCCGGGAAGCGGTCATCCTTAAGTGATGAGAAGAAAGAGGACAATAACTGTGGAGTTTGATAAATACTTTGTTGAAACACACAAGTGCTTCTCTCTTTCTTTGGTTTCAAAAGGAGGGAGTGAAAATATAAAAATACCAGGTGTTCTCAAGGTGTGCTTGGCCAATATCCTCCCTATTGTTCTGTACCAATATCTTGTTGAGTTATGATATAGGAAGCATTTACTATTTCATGATGTGCTGCATAGACGCAGCAATCTGTAAAGGTCGTGAATAGATTATCTGCCATCAATTTAAGCAATTAAACCTCAGGATGTCAATGAAAATAGAGATAAACATTTTGATACAAAACAAAGGACTTTCATTTATCGGTCACTCAGAGAATCATTGACACTGTATCAGCAGAAACGATGCTAAACAGAACTTGGCTAGACCTGCTTGTGTTCAGGCTTTTTTTTTTGCAGGAGCAATAACGTTAGCTGAGTCAAAAGTTAGCGGGCGGGGTGAAAGGGACGGATCAACTGAATACAAAAGCCAACACAGCAAATGTGCCAATGCAAGCCAGTCCATAATGGAGGGGTTTAAGGGGCAGACCCACTGAAATTGCTGAGAGTCATGGAAAGCATTGAACACAATGGAATAACTCAGCAGCACAATGCGGGACAAGAATAGTCTGCTTCCGGCTGGCCCTGGGCTGAAAGCGAGGGGGGGGGGGGATCATGATGGTCCTGGGGCCTGGGACTCCCACTGCACCCCGAGAGCTTTTTAAACATCATTGGATGGCCTGTGCCTAATGGGGTCACTGGCTCAGAATGGCTCTCTTCCTCTCTCTAATAATGAGAAACTATGCCTCACCTCTGTTACATCCAATTATTTACTACTTTTCCAGGGTGGGCAACATACCTTACTTTACAGCCTACTTGTCACAAAGAATATTCAAGTTATGAATGCTTACAGCTGTCAGTGATTTACCAGAAGGTAACATCCTTTTTACTGGCCAATATGGAGATAAGCCTACATCCCTGCTGGACTGTGACCTGCCCACTTAACATATGAATATGGGAGTATAAGAGAGGATTTATGGGCATGCAATTGGGCAAAACAACTGGAATATATATTTTTCCAGCAGAAGAGTGTTGGGCTGTACTACTTTGACATTTTCTCTATTTTCAATATCAACCCTTTTCCTTACATGATCATCATTGTGTTGTGTGTTCTGGTAATGTGCGTGAGTGCACAATGGTTGCAAGTAGTTTCTTAGAATTCATTTAGTTTAGATTGTTGCCTGAAAGCGCTGCCACTACCCCGTCCTGTTCAGAGGCTGTTCTGCTGTCGCTCACTCAGCCTGAGCACTGTACTACTACACGCAGCACAGATACAAGTGTTGATCCTCACCCCTCTGTCTCAGCGAAGTCTAAAACAAGCGTCGTGAAAGAGAACCAACGCCCCCCCCTAGCATATTTCCAAAGTCACCGTTTGTATAAATAGATTTGAAACACACAGCGGGGAGGGAAGGAAAATCACACATCACTCAAGCTGATCACCACAACACTCACCGGCCAAACAGAAGATATGTGTGTGAATCCAAAAAATCTCCTTTCCCTTCTTCTCTGCTGCACAGACACGCCTCTCTGCTTGAAGTTTACTTTTCCTTAAGATGACAGGAGGTGAGATGGTTGTCAGACCAACCGCTCTTTAAAACAGTCAAACCCTTTTTCTCTGATCCGTGCTCTGCCCTCTGTCAGTGGACTGTAATTTGTTAATGTGCCGGTGCTTCTCTATCCCCTCCCACTTTCTCTTTCCTCTTTCAGTGTGGGGGTGGTCTGCCGTCTGCGAGGGTGGTTGTAGAGAGAGGCCGGCCCTCTATGCCTCATATTTGTTCTGCTCGGCCTGAGTGATGTCAAGTTCTGTAATTTTAAAATAGTATAAGTATACAAACTAGTGTAATAAGCGCCTCGTGGCTGTATGCCTCCACCAACCAGTCAAGTAGCAGTTTGTGTCTTCATAAATGTATCCCGGTGGACATTTGTGTGAACATATGAATTCTTGTGAGGCCACAGTGACCCTTTGACCACCAAATTATCATCAGTTCATCCTTAAGTCCAAGTGGACGTTTGTCCCACATGCAATGACGAAACTCCCCTCCAGATTTCCCTGAGATATTGTGTTCACGAGAATAGGACGGACGGACGGATAGACAGACAAACAGACGCACACTAAACATTATGCCTCCGGCCACAGATAGCCATCGTAGAGGCGTAACAAGTGTCTGCCTGCTTCTTGCAACACTGATTTCTTTTCCTGTTCAAAGTCTTTCAAATCTCTTGACCAAACTAAATAAACTGCCTCTTTTGTATCCTTATGACTTTCATCATCCTGAACTTTCTTCTAGCACCACCAGCAGTACAGCGGTATTCACTTACCCAGTAAAATACTTCAGCAGATGCCAGATCAATTGGTTTAAAATGTGGTATTCGTGGGTCCCAGGTGACCCTGGTATCCTGATGTTTATCGACATCTGCTGACTGTTCCATTCACCACTGTACTCCTGTGTGAACCATAATGTGATTAAGTAAACCGAATAAGGCATTTGCATGCTCCCGTAGCTGTGCCTACGGTGTAGAATTGTAAGTCGCTTTGGATAAAAGCGTCTGCTAAATGACTGTAATGTAATGTAATGTAATGTAATGCTCTCACGTGGTTTAAGATTCCTCACGAAGAAGCTCTGTGTGTGAACGTGTCATGGTGGTTCGTCTACACTTATTTCTTATCTGTGTGGACAGACTTGTAAACAGTCAAATCGCAATGATTTACAGAGAGACTGTAGGAGAACAGCAGGTTTAGATGTATTTTATGAGAGTTGGAAAGATGCAATGAGGACAAACTGCAGTCAAAGAAGCGAGAACTTCCTCAAGATAATCGACTCAGTGCCCCCCCCATCATTTTACTGATGCATCACAAGAGATGTTTTTTTTACGAGTAGAGTCAAGGACATCCGACTGTGTTTTACATCTCAGTTGGTACATTCCTGGATATTTTAGCAATTTTAAACCTTGCTGTCCTTTTTAGCTGAAATCATATGAAATCAACCACGTGCAATCTGGACTTTATACCAACTACATTCCTTAAAGAGGTTATTAATACAGTTGGTTCCAGTAGTTTATATATTAATAGCTCATTAGCAACAGGCACAACGTTCCATCAACTCTTAAAGATGCTGTGGTCCAACCATCTTTTAAATAACCTAATCTTGATCCCTCTGTTCTTAGCAATTTTAGACCCATTTCTAAACTTCTGTTTCTATCAAGTTTTAGAGAAAGTGGTTTCAACCCAGCTTTTATGTCTTAATAACGTTTTAGAGAAGTTTTAATCAGGTTTTAGAGCTTTACATGGCACAGAAACCGGCCTCCTCGAGGTATCCAATAATCTCCTTTTAGCAGCTGCGACACAGGTGAGAGCTCCATTTGAATTCTATTAGACCGGAGTGCAGCCTTTGACACAATAGACCATTTTAATCAACCGTCTTCAAACCTGGGTTGGCATCAAGGACGCTGCACATAAGTTGCTTTTATTCTTACCTTTTAGATAGAACTGTGACGACCCTGTCTGCCTGTGGCTGCTTTCCTTGCAGGCGTGGCAGAGGATCGTCAGGCAGAGTGGGAACACCTGAGGCAATTAACAGCAGGCTGGAGGTGAGACAGATACAGGGGATAAAATCCTGACGCGAAGAATGGGGTTGAGGGTGTTGCCTGTCCCGGTGCATACGCTGAATCGAGACCAGTGTTACCAGTGGAACCAGTGTTACCAGTGGAACCAGTGGAAGGGATTGACGTGATTTTGGGCAACGCCCTCTGATAGTCACTCCCTCTCCTTCAGCCTGAGAGTGTTGTAAACTTTCCCGAAGCAGAGAGCAGATCCAGTCTTGGAGGAGTTGTTTGGATCAGTGCTGTCAGTTGGTGAGGTGAAACATGTTTCCAGGGGCTACCTCCTTCAGGATGGTATTTTGGTGAGGAAGTGGGTGCCCCATGGTGAGGATTTTATTGGGGATCCCATTTTTCAAGTTGTCATTCCAGCCAAGCTTCGTGGTCATGTGTTAAGACTTGCTCATGATGGTCAGAGCATTTGGGTGTCCGGAAAACCTATGACCAGATTTTTCGCCATTTCTTCTGGCCACAAATGGAAAAAGGATGTCTCTATGCATATTAAAACCTGTAGTACGTGTCGGATGACTGATGGGCCAAATCAGGTCACTAAACCGGATCCACTGGCTGGTGCCAGCTATCTGTCAGCCGTTTGATTACCTAATCCTTGATTGTGTGGGGCCACTGCCCTGTGCAATGTTTGGTAGCCAGTATTTACTGACTTGTGTGTCAAAGCACGAGCTACCCGGCAGCGTATCCTTTGTGAGCAATGAATGCAAAATCTGTGGTTAAGGCCCTGAGGCAATTCACAACTGTGTTTGGCATCCCTAGAGTCATACAAAGTGACAAGGGATCATATTTTTCCTCTCACCTGATGGCCTAAGTGGTAAAACTGCTAGGTATCAGACATAACCAGTCGTCCGCTTATCACGCACAGTCAAGGCGCTTTGGAGCGGTTTCACCAAAAACTCAAGTCTGTTTTGTGCTCCTATTGTACTGAGCTAGATGGGGACTGGGAAGATGGGCTACCGTGGTTGCTGTTAGCTGCACAGGAGGTTGTACAGGGTTTAGCCCAAATGATCTAATGTTTGGCCACACTGCCCGGGGTCCAGTGTCTGTGTTTAAGGATGGTTAGAAGGAGTCGGGTCCGCCCACCAACCTTATTGATTATGTGAATGGGTTTAGGCATCGACTTTATTCCGCAGGGGAGTTGGTGATGGAAATGTTTGCTGCATCACAAGTTAAAATGAAGAAGAGGTATGATCCTCAAGCTGAGATGCGTGAGTTTAGTGCCGGTGATCGAGTTTTGGCTCTTTGTCCGTTGGTGAGTTCACCGTTCCAGGCTAATATTTTTATTTTTTTTGTGGTCCGGTTACAGTGTTTAAACGCATCTCGGACAAGAATTATTTGATTTCAACTCGCGGTCGCAGGAAACTTATTAAATTGTTCCATGTGAAGTTGCTTAAACCCTATTATGCTCGCTCTTCTAGTGCACCTGGTGATGTCCAGCAGGAACCAATGGCATTGAGTCCTGTGTTGGGGGCTGATAAATTGGATTCAGTTGAGAGCATGGGCGACGCTGTTCTGGATCCTGATGAGGGGTTGTTGTCTGGTCGGCTGAAAAATGAAGGGACCCTCATGAGGTTAAAAGGGTTGTTTATCTCCTGGTTTGTTTGCTGATGTGGTGGTCCTGTGGGACCCCTGTCTTAGGGGGGGGAGAAACCGACGTTGACCCTGTGTGGCTGCTTTCCTTGCAGGTGTGGCAGAGGATCGTCGGGAAGAGTGGGAACACCTGAGGCAATTAACAACACTGGCCCTGTGTGCCAGTGCACCCTTGATTTAAAAACCCTCTGGATCCTCAGTTGGCTGGCTCCTTCCTGAGACACCCACTTTGGTTTTGGTTGGTTTCTACACTATACAACACTGCATATACACTTGCACTGCTGAAATGACTGACCTCACATGTCACTGTTAGTTTGTTTGTCTTTTATATTACTTTAAACTTAATAAATAATTGATAAACTGCTTCATTTATTAACGCGTCTCCCTGTTTTTGTCATGGCCGTTCGGCCCGTTTGTGACAGAACCCACTCGGTCACCATAAGTAATTACTCATCCTCTACATCTCACATGACACCAAGGTTCAAATTTAGGTCCAACTTTATTTTCCATATACCTGCTCCCACTTGGTCAAATCATCCAACATCACGATGTCTCTTTTCATTGCTATGCAGACGACACACAGAGATGCCTTCCATTGAGACCTGATGACCCCAGAAGCCCAGCTGCTATTTGAGACTGTCTTAATGATATCAACTGTTGGATGGCACAAAAGGTTCTTCAACTTAAATTCAGAAATCCTATCATTTAGTCTCCCAAAAAACTATTACTCCCATTAAAAGTGCCCTTGGCCCCCTGTCAACATAAAGCCCACTGAATCACTAATCCCTTTAAACACGTCTTAACACATTTTTACAGACTGGCTTTTATGTGATGTCGTCGCTTTTCTGTTTTATTTTTGTTGATTTTACAAATCTTTTACATTTTATTTATTTACTTTTCTTAGTATCGACCGTCTCACTGAGCTTTCTGTTATTATTGTCTGCTTTTGCTGCTTTGTCTGTCAAAGCACTTTGTAAACTCTATTTTTAAAAGGTGCTATATAAATAAAGTTATAATTAGTGTAACTGCCCAGAATTTTACCAGAGTTAGGCGACCGACTCGTGCGTTAGATGAATATCTAAAAATATACTGACTGACCTGATTAGAAGAAATGCTTGTCGGGTCACAGTACTACAGTCCATGCCTGTACTCATGACAATTACATCATGGAATTTTTCAAAGGAAGTGTAAGAATAAAAGAGGGATGTTAAACTTGTGTGCACACTTCCTCAGGCATACAGGAATACAGTCATGCTTCCCAACTGTCGATGGATTTGCATTCGTGCCAGTAAGATATTAGCATGACTTATGTAGGTGTGTTGCCGTTATGATTCCGCCTCTTGACGGCCCTGAAATGACCCTTTCCTCACTCCAATGTGCAGTAAGACATTCTAATGTTCAGCAGAGGATAGTGAGTCAAATCGACTGGGTATGTTCCAAAGTTAGTTCTTTTCAGTATGAAACGACTTCTTCGTGTCCTCCCAGACTGTTTCCTTGCTGACAGTGTGATAGTAAAACAAAGATTTTAAAAGTAACTTTGGAAGATGTCTACTTGATTTGCTTCACTCAGACAGCGGACACCTCATATTAGCTTTATTGGAGTTGTTAGGAAATGCTCAATTCGTGGCCTCCGACCAGTAGGAATGATTACAGCGACAGACGGTATTTAATTAAGAGACTGGAAAAATAAAATGTGTCCTTTGATTTTAGATTGGTATGCACACTTTCACAGACACCGTGTGTGCATCTGTTGCTGGCTCGCTCACAGCTAGCTGCTGTACAGCACATTGGCTCCAGCGGTCATTTTAAAGCATTAGCTTCTCTGTCTGAACTCGCTTAACAGTCGTAGTTTCACACGCATATTGGCATCAAGAGGAAATAGAAAAAAACGTTAATTTGTAAAAGTGACTCACTCAGTGAGAGCTGAAACTTAAGACACTACTTTTAGTCGTTCGAACCCTTTTGTTAAATCTTGTATCTTGAATACTATGAATACACTTGAACTCAGATACAGAACAGGATTCTTCTGCATTGGACTCATTTTAGCCCTGATAAATATACTTTAACCGGCTTTTTTTATACTAAACCAGAATAGCATGCATTTCTGTACCAAGTTTCCTGGCACCGAAATATAAAATGTATTTAAAACATTTAACTCTTAACTAAATGTCCAACTCACGGTGGTGCTAGAGATCAACAGTCCAAAGCTGGTCGGCTTTGTCTTCTAGACATCAATGTCTGTACAAAACGTCATGGCAATGCATCCAAAATATGTTAAGCTATTTAAGACACATTTATCTGGAACAAAATGAACAGACCGACCAACAATCCCTAAAGTCACGTTAGCCACGTGGCTAAAAACTGTCCAGTGCATTTTGGATATCACAGAATATAAAAATATATATACATACACACATACACTGGCGTATACTTCCCTCACGTAAAGACATGCACTTAACAACGTGGAAAGTAAAAGCAAACACTTTGATATTATCAAAATAGATTTTATTCTAGACCTTCTGAAATCTGAGTGATATTACAACAGTCAGATCAGGAGGCTGCAGACTGCGACCATGTGAGTGAGAGAGAAAGAGCACAACATAGATGAGGGCAAAGACAACACAACAAAAACAAATTGGTATTTACATGTTCTGTGTGACAACACAATGACAATTAAATCCAGATTTGACTTTATTTTTTAATTTTTGTGTACGTATAGCTACAAATAAGTCATCGTTACAAAAGTTTTGAGAAGTACAAAACCGTCACGGGCTCTCTGACGTAGCAAAGATAGAATCGACGTTAGTACTTTCAGAAGGGACACAAAATAGCAAACACTTGAATGCAGTGTAAAAACAAAACGTTATAAAATACCATTCCACTGTCAGAGACATCGTCTGAAAGAGTGTCTTTGTGGTACGATCCAATCACTGATGACTGTATTAAGCAAACTTCAAAATAGTCTTTAGCTTCAGTACAAAAATTTTCAAAACAAGTAACAACGTGTGTGTGTGTGTGTGTGTGTGTGTTAAGCCATTAGTCATTATGGCTGCAGGATGAGATCTGGAATGCCATAAAGTTGGCTTGGTTCAGCTTTGATGCACCCCGAGGAGGCAGACAGGACACTCCTCACCCTTACTCACCCACTGCACACTTTGATTCACCTTGAATAAACAAATACTAAAGTGCAGGGGGAAAAGAACGCCCTTCAAAAGGGCTTCCTCTACCCTCTCTCTACGACTGGTTAACGGTATTTTATTCACGACCCCCGGTGATGCACGATAACACCACGTACTGCATCTCAAGCATGAAGTAACTTTAAAAGCCTCCATTAGCGTATGAGTGGAAAAGAGTCCCCTGTGATATCACAGATATATTCAGATATAATATTATATTATATGCAGATACCATGTTACATCAAGTCATATGCTGCTATTGAAGTACAGACTTGCCTCAAGACGCCAACAACTACTAACAAAAGCGCCGTCTGTCCCTGCATAGGTTGAACGCAGCCCGTCTCCAGAGTGTGTGTGTACATGTGTGTGAATGCTAGGCAACGACAAACTGAAGCAGTGACTGTAGTGTGTACTTGCAGGACATGAAAGCTGAGAGAGTAGATGGGACACTGGGAGTCCATGCCGTCCGTCACTCCAAAGAAGTAATCTTTAAAAAAGGGTTTTTAAGCCGTCTGACCGCTGCAAACGACCGGTCAACATGACAAACCGTGATAAGAACTCCAGCCAGGAAGTGATACTCGAGACGATGTCCTGATGTTTAATGACTAAGCAGGGGAAACAGGACACAATTAGCACGGCCTAGTCTGATTATCATTCAGCATTGGTTAGCAACGAGCCATTAATTGAGGAAACAAGCACAATTACCACTTAATTGTTCATGTCAGATGGATGCGAGCTGTTATGGGCCTGTTTTCCCTTCTCTCTCTCTCCCTCTCTCTGTCCCTCTCCCTCCCTCCCTCCCCCACAGATCCCAGAAAGCTAGATTCTCCCGTACCACGTTACCTCACTACGGACACAAAAACACACCGGCCGTCTAGTCGCAAGCTTGAGACAGATCCAGGACAAGCTCAGTGACGGAGACCTGAAGCTGACTGCACATCAGTCGAACACGAGATCGACACGGTGTTTAACAGTTACGAAGATTATCTTGAATTCTTTAGAGCTCTATATTAACCTGATGAATTGTGAACACCTGAAACACATTTCTGAGGAGACAGTTCAGCCTTTTATTAACTGCTTTAAACTTTGTTAAAAAAGTTTTAACAAAGTTAAAAAGTCAATTATGACACAAACCTGTTAGATAAAAAATAGTCGACAATATTCTAAACCGTTTTCATCTTCTCAGCTCTACATCTGCATGTGTGAACCTTAAAGACTGCAGAGAAGTGGATGAACGGATCCCCCCCAATGATCGGCTTTGAACACCCTTCTTAAAAAGACAACCACATCTCACCCCCCCCCCCACGCCCCCCCCCTCTTCTCTCCCACCCCACATGTACAGTAATAGAAAACCTGCAGGTATCAGTCAAATCCAAATTCCAAACAACAATGTCCACAGGACATCAAATGCTGACATATGCAATATGCACACACCAACAGAGCGCAAAGAATCTTTAGAAGTCCGGTACAAAGGATAAAAAGACGAAAGCAAGAAGAATCCTACGGTTTTGGTTTGCATGTGATGGGTCCGACAGGGTGGTACTGTGGAATAACAGAGACGTGTTTCCTGCTGCAGGTCTGTGAGAGCAGCACCGTGTGTCCATACAGACCTGACGCATGTCTGACACATGTGGCGAAGGTGTGGTCCTTGTGTGTACATATGGACTGTAATGGCGTCTGACGGGACTACAGCAGTGTGGCGGACAGGCAGGGACAGTCAGTCATTTTGGCTATGTACACATTCGTAGTCGGTCCATTGCTCCCCCCTCACGAGTGTCATTTCCTCAGGTCTAATACGCAAACCTGGAACAACAGGAAGGAGGACAGTCAGACACAATGCTGCAATAGTTTCTGTGAAGCCTCTTTCTGGCTCAAGTAGGAAAGAAGCTTAATTTTACATCAATGGCTTTATTAAGTCGTCAGAGATTTTAGTTCCTTTTACACAAAACTAAATGCACACGGGTTTCTTTTGGAGATTCAGAGCATAGGTCACTTAAACTATCATAAAAAGTTGATCGTGTGACTCACCACCCTCGAGACCAAGTGAAGGTGTGTGTGCAAAGCTCCACTATCGGTGAACACAGAGGACATCGACATCGGAGAGAGAAGAAAAGCTAGACAGTAAAGACTCACACTGAGCTACAATGATTATGTTCCGTCACCGCATTATTAAAGAGCAGTTGACGTCTGCATTAACGATGCACCTTTGAGTTGAGAAATTTCCAGCGGTGTTCAAATGTTGCTCAATCAATCCAGAGTTTTCCATAAGCGCGAGCTGTCAGCCGGACGGCCGTACACGAAAACATTTCCAGCAGACTACGTCCTTCCTGTTTGCTTTTTGTTTCATAGGGAGTCGCTTCTCTATCGATTTAAGGTACCTCGCATCACATCGAGCAGAGCCTCATTCACGACGGGAAGAGCTAAACTGTCACCCGCTGCTTGATTGTGTGAGTAGAGACGACATTATATGGCATAATATATGAAATACAATCTTAACAAATCATAATAGCTCTGTTGCTTTATCCCACTTACTGCATGTTTTAACAACTTCATTCTGTTATCATATTGCAGAGAAGCCTACGTCACAGAAATGTAAAAGAGCAGCAGCCGAGGGTGTAGAATCCACATCAGCAGAGAAATAACATAATGCACAGCAGACCAGAGGACAGCTAGATTTTATTATTGAAATATTATGAATTTATTCTAATGAAATTAAGACTTTATTCTTGTAAAACTAGGATTTTTTTTTATGTGTGAAATGATTCTAATGTGCAGAAAGTTTTGAACATGAGCAAAGATTTAGCTGAAACCCATTTTAACTATAAAAGTTTATAAATCAATTACAATTAAGAATCATTGAGGTGAATAAGAGCCACACGGAGTTTAATTCACCAACTCACCGATCCATCCGACGCGCTGGCTCCTACTTTGTCCCCTGTGGCGTTCCAGCACACTTCGAAGATTCCTCCCGTCCCCCGGTAGCTGTGAACTAAAGCACCCGTCTGAAGAAAGAAACAGACACACACACACACACACACACACTAGCAATGAAATATCTTCATCCTATGTATTCATGCCACCAGAAATGATTACTAAAGTGTATGTGGTTAGAATTGGATTAACCCAGACCTGAGTGTTCCAGATGTGGACACACTTGTCAAAGGAGCCACTGGCGAGGTGTCTCCCATCGGGACTGAAGGCCACGCTGTAGACGGGCTCCTGGTGGCGGGTCAGTGTGTGGATACACACCCCGCGCTCCACGTCCCACAGACGCACAGTGGAGTCAAATGATGCGCTGGAGAGATGGAACAGGACGAAGAGATATGAATCTGAACAGCTCACATTGTTTTAACCGTATCGCCGTAATAATGCTTTTTGATGGAGTGGATAGTTATTTTCTCAATAATAGATATCTATAAAATATTTAAAAGTCTATCTTGCATTTATGGCCGGAGCTCTGAGTTCCAGCCATAAATGCGTGCATGCGTTATGTGTATAGAGCCTCCATGCAAAACTGTGATGTACATCTCAGAGTGACCGGTGGCGGCTGTGCAGCCATTGGAGCCCAGTGACGCAGACAACAGTGGTTTGTAAAGCGTCCTATCTGTGCAGATTAATCGCCCAAACCGATCAATAGGTCGACCTCTAGAGCCAAGTGTACAAGAGTTGCGTTGCAATAAAATGAACCTGACAGATACAGTATGTCAACTGGACAGGACAGCTCTCAATAAAGGGGAAACGTCTAATCACCTCCACATTATGCATCAATCGACTCCCAATCTGAGACAATATCTTGGAAGGCCAACATGACATGTTACATTTGAGACACAGAGAGATACTTCTGTCTTTCAGTAACAGACCGTGAATGGCATGGTCAGTTTTGTCAATTCTGCTCAGGCACCTTAGGATTCTCGAGTTGTTTAGGTGGAAAGCCCACTCGGATCTGCTTGAGCCTGTGATATTTCCTCGGGGTCAGTTGAGCCACAGTGGCATTCTTCACAGGTGCATATGAAAAGCACTAACGCTGGGAGTCGGCCAACAGCTAAAAACATTGCTGAGTGCAACCGAGACACCAGAACAGGCTCTGCTGATGTTCATAGTGTCAGAGTCAATACGGAATAATACGAGCAGCAGCATTGAGGTCAGTGTCAAATATTTTATTGATGAGGTTCTTATCGAGGAATGGGAGTGCTGCTGAAATGCAGTGAACTTGTAAGACGTTTCACAAATTCAGCAATACAGGTCGATTGGATTGTCTTAATCTCCCGATATCTCATAAGTATGAGAAAATATATCAGTAATTAGAAAGAAACTGCTGACTTAACATAAGTTGGTATTTGTGTCATCTCTCCTCTATTAATACACAGCTACTCTGTAGCACACGAGTGTTGCTCATGATGTTCAGGTGCTGCTTTGTGTCTTACCTGGCCAGCATGAGGTTGGCGCTGGGATTATTGGTCCCAGGGCCCGTGGGGCTCCACTTGATGGTGTAGATTTCTTTACTGTGGGCCTGGAGGTCATGGACACACAGGTCCTGCTTCATACTCCAGATCTACGCCAGAGAAGGAACCAGTTAGTATGGCTTTAATCACAGTGTTCACACCAACACACTCAATGAGGAATTTGTACATCTGCATGTTAACTGGACCGACCTTCAGCGTCATGTCATCTGAGCAGGAGGCCAGCAAGCTGCCAGTGGGATCCCACTTGATGGCGTTCACCTCATTCTACAGCGAGTAAGAGAGAAAGTTAGAAAACAATACAAAAACACAGTATCCTTGACTGATGTACATGAGCAACGATAGAAATAATGCACTTAGTATATTGATACGTTTATGACAATTTATCTAAAGGCATCACAATAAGTGATATCCTGGTTTGTCACAGTTGTGAGAAGGATCTTCCTCTCAGGGTCCTTCTTAGTCTTAAGAATGAATACACCATAAAGGGCGTTATTAACTTTAGTGAGTCAGTGGCAGAATCCATATTCGCTATCCTACAATGCTTTAAAAACAGTAGTGTCCCGTCTCACCGTGTGTCCCTGGAAGGTCTTGACAGGTCTGTCCTGACCCAGCTTACACACATGGATGCACATGTCTGTGCTGCAGGAGGCAAACGTGTTGTTGCTCTGCCAGTCTACGTCCAGAGCCGGTGCTGTTGGGAGGCAGAGACAGAGCTTAGAGCTGCTGCAGCAGCGAAGTATGTAGAGACGGAGGAGAAAAGATGGCAGGAATATCGTGGTCTGACAATAGTGTTGGTATTGCCACATTGGATCGGATAATTCACTTTAACAACACTTAAAAAGGGCGGACATGTTTTCTGCAGATTCACTGTCACACTCCATCAAGAGACGATGTCAGAATGCAGAGCTGTTGTGCAAAATGTGTAAAAACAAGTTGGGTTGAATGTGGCTCTCAACCATATCAGTCACAATGTGTAAGAGGACTTAAATAATATCTAATCTGTCTTAAACCAAAAAAGACTCTTGCATGAAAAGTCACATGGAACAATCCAGCTGACTCCCGTCACTCACCCGAGTGGAAAGGAAATTGTTGTTTTGCTTCTCCCGTGTGGGCGTCCCAAATAATTGTGGTCTGTGTGGAGGAGGAAATTTTCATTATTTATACTAAACCAGTAATGTTCATGTTATAAAAGCAATAAAAACATCACATAAATATAGAAAAGGTGCTCTTATTTAACACCAGTTGACCTGAATAATGCCAGGTGATATATCACACACACGCCGTTTTATGTCTCAAAGACTCAGAACGTGTGCTGAAGGCGACGCTGTGCATGTCGTTGTACTTCTGTACACTAGATGGCAATGTTGAACACAAGACGTGAGCATGTCTTGTTATTGGTGGAGATGATCCTCCGTCGCCTGTCAGTCCGTAACATTTGGTAAGTGTATGCAGACCCTGACATGCAGGTATACACTGAGGACAGTGCACAACATCTGCATAGAGCCATCTATAGTCTGCATGCTTTCCCTCGGCACAGCTGATGAAGATTACTTTAACTTCTTTACGCCAACCCTCTATACCAGGGGTCAGTAATAGGCCGGACGCCGTCGTATCTGGACCTGGACCTACAACCGATAATTGAGAATTGTTCAATTTTGTCGTGATGCTACTCAGCCAATCGAATGTGTGTATTCCGATAAGCATCGCGGCTTTAGTGAGATCGTAAACACACTGGAGAGAGACGGGATGAGAGGCCGAATAGTCGGAGAATTACGTGAGTCACAGAAGTTATATCACGTGGCGTTCTCCAAAAAGAGAGATGTTAACAACAAGGCCAGAGCCTTTATCCATTTTAGCCAATGGAAAGTGTCTCATATGTTCAGAGAACGTGGAGATTATTAAAAGAGGGAATGTGAAGCGTCACTACGAGACAAAGCACAACTCTTGTTGAGCAAACGTACCCATTCACGTCTAAAACGAAGTCACAGATAGTAAACAACCTAAGAGCCCAATATGATCGATCCACCAGATTCCCAACATTCATTCACTGCACAACAATGATCCCTGCAAACTATATTTATACTTTAATTTAAGATAAACACTTTTCAAAAGCTTTCCGTTATGTATTTTGTTTTAAATTCAGCCCTTATTTTACTTGAAATGAGAGATAATTTATTTATTATCAAGTATGTATTATGTCAAATTCATCCAGTTCAATTAGAAAACTTATTGTTGAGATATTATTCAACTGAACTTTCTTAATTTGATTTGACAGTCAGTTGTCGACGACATACAGACGTTAATACTTCAATATGTATATATGGGACAAATTAGAGGGCAAATTAGACATCATTGTGATGTTCCGGACCTTTGCATAAAGTAATTATCTCGAACTGGACCTCGTTGAGTTATATTTGAATACCTCTCTACAATAGACTAGAGGTGGGAATCTCTACGCATTGGATTCTGATTCAGAGCTACAATGCGATTATGAAACGATTATCGATTCATCTTGATGCATCAAAATATTCCTATACATGATTTATTTCTGCTACTTTTAAAACACTGCATATTTGTAATAATATATGATTTAAAAACAGATGAATTTACCTTCATAATCTTAGAACAAATAGAGATTTATCAACTGGAGTGTTACATTTGAAATTACTGCGAATTGAACAAACATGAAATAAATTAAATTGGGCCTGTCGTAGTAAAAACACAGAATTCAGTCATAACAAGCGGCCCTCATTCACAAATAAATAATATAGACTTCTCTTCAAACAAATCCTCCTGTTACAGGCAATGAGCATTCAGCTCTCGTACAGAAACAACGCCTTCTGAAACACGTGGTGAAACTGTACGCACAGCGATAAAGTGGGCGGTTACGATCACACAAGATTCTGTGGCAACAACTGATGTCACGTATCGCGTGGTACTTCTACCCGACCCGCTTCCCTCAGTGACTCCATGACTCTAGCTTTGGTTTGGTTGTAGAGTATCGATGCGATGTAAACATGTTGAGATGAATGTTGTATCTCGGTCCCAAAGTGTGCAACATAGCACGAAAGCTCGGATTCTCAATGACTGAGTCGGGGTGCTCCAACACGTTAGCTTTAAGGCCAGAGGGTGCCGGTCGGATTGAATCCATATTCGGCTGCTTTAGCTCAGCCGCCCTCACCAGAACTCCGCTAGTATTTAGTCTAGTTTAGAACGTGAACGTGTGTTACCTCTGGTGCGTTCAGGGGCAGCGGTAAGGAACAGACAGCCCGGTGTCTCAGAATTGTTACACGTGATCATAACGAGAATTGAGTTTTAAATTTAAGATTATTGAGTTTTCTGCATCGAGTCATACATCATCTTTCAAGAAGTGATTTCTTTCCCCACCCCTACTATAGACGGTGTCATTTTTCGGAGGGTCAGGGGGTCTTTAGGGGGAGATAGTAGGTCAACAGGATTATGCCAAATAGAAGTGGTATACTTCTTCTGGAACCTGAAGATTCATTTGAGATACAGCTCTGCACTGTGTTTCTATCTGTAATAAATATTGTGTTTTATTTAGGCGTCTATTCAAATGTTGAAAGTGTAGAGTATATAAAGGCTTACAAATGATAACTATTCCACATTAATTTATCATAAGTTGTTGCAGCAATTTTTGGGTTGATTTTACCACTCGAGAATTGGTAAAAAAAAACCTGCAAAAAAAACACCAAGAACACCATAAAAACAATCCATCCTGTGATTTGGTATCAGAAACTTGACATTTGAAGATTTCTGCAAGAACTGCATTTTTTGGAGATTGGATCTCTATTACTTCTGTTCAGAAAACATTCATTCTCAACATACCGAGGAAAGCCGTACATCCTCTGAATTGAGAAAAAGATGTTTGTACAGCAATATAAAATAGATATTAGAGGGATATTAGGGAATTACGTCCTGTTTCACTTCCTAACACTAGCTCTAAGCAGCTTATTATATATTATTAAAACTACTAATGCCAAGATTATTTTTAATTAAATATTTTAGGTATTAAAACAAAATACAATCAATTACTTCCTAATCATTTGTATAGTGTGTTTTTATGCGAATAACCACTAGATGACAACAACAAAGTAAAAAGATAACATTTATCATTTTTAACAGTTTACACTGACTTCTTATCAAATGAAAATACTTTGGGACGGAGGTGAAAGACGTTAGTCTAAAGCTTTGCTGTCAATTATTGTTCTTAGAAAGAAAATCGCCAAAAAACAGAATCAGCAGATCATACTTAAAAAGAAATTAAAAAAAAAAAAAAAAATCAGAATCCGGCAAGACAATTGCAATCGGTGCGAATCTATAAAAAACACCAACTAACAAACCCCTCCAATCAAACATGTATCACATTATAGAATCATCACTGTGTTACATCCCACCTCAACATAGTGTTATAATACGTCACATTTTAAGGTACCTTTAAAGTTGCTCACAACGTCAATTGTTATTCTACTCTAAATAATAAAGCTGGAATCAGTGAGCCTTACCTTGTCTACACCAGCACTGAGGATGAAGTTTCCTTTCTTATTCCACTTGAGAGCAAATATCGGACCTTTGTGCTGACCCAACGTACTGGCCAGGTTACCTGAAAATATCAGAAACGTAACACAGCTTAAAAAGTGAGCAGAAACATTTCATCATCCATGCGTCCTTGCAAACCTATGATCTTACCGTCTTTGGTCCATATTCTAGCAAAGCCGTCATACGAGCCTGTTGCTAGCAACGTTCCCTCGCTCTGAAACAAGGAAAGCGTCGATTCTCATTAGTTTCAAGTCAGCTGCATCTTTCTCAGTTTTACACATTCTGGTTCGGGCAGAATTGGGCCTGGTTTTACTGGTATATTCCACTTAAACAACGAGACACAGGAAGGTGTAAATAGTTAATTACAGACAATATATTAGTGCTGATTTGACGTATAGAGGTGACTTGTACTACTCCACTACTTCAGCACAAGTAGTGGTCACAGGCAGGCAGGCGAGCGAGCACGCGCACACGCACACACACTAGATTACTCTAAACTGCACTCAGTGGAACAGACACACATACTTCTACTGTTCAAATACACAAATACACACACACTCACATTCCAGTCTAGTGAGGTGACGTCTTTGTTGCTGGGTACGTCCTGACCCCCTTCCCGTATGCAGTGCCTCAGAACCAGCTGAGTGGACCCGCCTACACTGTTCTCAATCAGGTTCCAGATTCGTGCTGTCGAGTCCCCGGACCTGTCGAAATCAACACACACACACACACACACACACACACACACACACACACACACACACACACACACACACACACACAATCAAAACATTAGACACGCATCATGGCTTTGACTCTTGAAATCAGTACTGAAAGTGATATAAAACTGACCATCGTTGCTCTTGAGTAGTGTTGGGGTTAGAATGCATTTTATGGAACCTGAACCCAGTATCAAATCCGAAATCTTTTTAAATCCCTATCAAACCTTTTCACATCATCTGTTGAGGAAAAAGGAGAAAGAAGTTTTACAAGCACAAAACTCATTAGCTTTAACGTGGCCCCTAACTCAACTTACAGGACTGGGCCTTTAGTCTTTGCATTTGTCTCCATGTTCTTTGAGAGCTATGCTCGTGCTGTGAAGCAGGACGGCTGAATACGTTACTTAATCAGCAAGTTGACATCTCACAGGAGAAAGTTTAAGATGATGAACCATTCTTGTTCTTGATTTTGTTTTTTGTTTGGCAAAGTAAAATCCATTTTTCCTTTTGACAACGGCATCGATGCATGTGCTGTGAAGGTAATCGATGTTCTGGATTACACTCAACTGATCATTTTGGTTTATGGTAATGGACATTTTTATAGTGTATAGGGTTTTATACGGTGTTGACGGGGCAGTAAAGTTATCACACTAATTCACACCTATTTCTCTCACATCAATAACTTATTTCAGGATTTAATGATTTTAGTCTAGATTCTCTCGATTCAAGTAAAAAAAGGGCTGGATTAAAGAATAAATTACATAACAGAAGGCTTTTGAAAAATATAGATGTTAAATTAAAGTAATAGAAAAATGAATTGAACCGACTTGTCCTGCAGCTTTGAATTCAGTTCATTCAGGTGTGAAAAAAAAGTCACGAAATTATATTCTTCTCATTTTCTAATAAGAGAAATTTGTGTGGAGGGATCTGTGGTTATTAAACCACTTGTTTCAGCTCTATTCCTCTGTTAACGTCATTGTTGGGCAGTGAATTAATGTGTTAGGATTCTGATCATATTGGGCTCTTAGGGTGTTTACTATCTGTGACTTCGTTTTAGATGTGAGTGGGTATGTTTGTTCAAAAGTCGTGTGCTTTGTCTCGTAGTGGCGCTTCACATTCCCTCTTTCAATAATCGTCACGGTCTCTGAACATATGAGACACACTGGGTTTGAACTGCCCGTGCAGAATGAACATTTAAGAGTCTGTCCACTCTTGGTTAAAGGTTCAGGTCTCTCTGTCAACATTTGTCTTTTTGGAGAACGCCATGTGAAATAACTTCTTTGACTCACGTACTTCTCAGACTATTGGGGCTCTCAACCTGTGTGTGTAAATCTCCCTCAAGCCGCGACGCTTATCAGAATACACACATCCGATTGGTTGAGTAGCATCACGTGATGTGTTTTACAATGCATGCAGTTAGTCAGTGCGTTTCCTGAACCGCTGAACGAGTGCCGCAAAGACTAGAAAAGCTGCGTGGGTCAAAATTTATTTATTTATTTTTATATATATATATATATATATAAACATATAGGGCTCTTAGGGTGTTTAC